CAATGTGTAATAGTCAATAAAATAAAATCCGGCCCATCAACCGTGAAGAGTTCAGTCCCCCAGGGTACTGTGCTTACTCCAGTAATTTTTCTCATCCTCATATCAGACATAGACAAGGACACAAATTATGGTACTGTATCATCCTTTTGCAGATGACACTAGGATTTTTATGAGTACACAACAGATAGATAACAGCAAACCTCCAATCAGATGTAAATCAGGTTTTTCAATGGGCTACAGAAAATAACATGGTATTTAATGAAGATAAGCTCCAGCTAGTGCACTACGGAAAAAATTAAAATATAAAAACAAACCACGTATAAAACAGTCAAATAATCACACAACACGAAATAGCAATGTAAAGGATTTGGGTGTACAGTACTCACGTTGGAAGACTTTACCTTTAAAGAACACAATTAAGTAGCCGTCACAACTGCAAGAAAAATGACTGGTTGGATAACAAGAACTTTTCAAACTAGAGATGCTATACTAATGATGATACATACTTGTCAAGATGCTAGTGCTCTCTAGAGTGGAATCGTTATGCTGTCATCGTTGCACAATGACAGCCCCTTTCAAAGCTGGAGAAACTGCTGACTGGGAGAACGTACAAAGATCCTTTACTGCTAGTATCCACTCATTACAAAACAAAGCACTTCGCTTTGCGGAGGGCCTGACTCTGATGGACAGGGTAAGAAGTGACCAAATCCATGAGACGCTCAACATGAAGCCAATGAACATCAGGTTCAGCTACCTGGCCAGAAGACAGCTGTACCGCATGAAGAACATGTATGTCCCAGACCCCGAAGATCCCTACGTAGCAGAAAACACCACCAGCGACTACGAGGTCCACGAACCACCATACAAAACCAGAAGAATCACTCTCCAACAAAAAGTGATCAGACACATCCATGATGAGGCCTTCCCAAGACCTCAAATACTAAGCGGCCTGCCAGATGACCCAGATGAGTGGCCCATCCCGGACCTGATCTACATCAAATGAAGAATAAATAAAAAAAATAAATAAATAAATAAATAAACAAATAAATAAAAAAAAATAAATAAATAAATAAATAAAAAAAAATAATAAATAAATAAATAAAACTCCTACAAAAAAAATATAAAACCAAAAAACCATTTGTCGTGGCATCAGAAGTGTAACTTCCCTGATGTTGCTAAGATTAACCTCCTTCAGCCAACTCCATCGGCTCTAGTGCTTTAGGACACCAACAAGGTCACAAACACTAGCTCCCCCCAGCCAATGTACTGACAACCCAACATAACACATACGCAAACAAACAACACATACAAAAATGTCAACCCATGGTGGACAGGCCACCGAACTTTCAAACCTCCTCTCTCTCTACACCCGCATCCTCTTCCTGAATTTCATCTCCCCATCCCTCTACCTCCCCCATCCTTTCCATTCCCTGTGGACATCAAAGCTAAAGAATTCACTCAGTAAAACATGTAAACTATTGGGATCGACTAAAATGCCTAAATATGTATTCTCTTGAGTGTAAGCGGGAGAGATACATAATAATTTACACGTGGAAAATATTAGTGGGGCTGGTCCCAAATCTGCACACAGAAAGAAATAGCACCACATAAGACCAGAAGGCATAGCAGGATGTGCAGAATACCACCCGTTGAAAAGCAAAGGAACAATAGGTACTCATGAGAGAGAACTCTATCAACATCAGAGGCCCGAGACAGTTCAACATGCTTCCACTAAACATAAGGGGCATAACTGGCCAACCCCTTGCAGTGTTCAAGAGAGAACTTGATAAACACCTCCAAAGAATACCTGATGAACCAGGCTATGATTCATACGTCAGGCTGCAAGCAGCCGCATCCAACAGCCTGGTTGACCAGTCCACCAACCAGGAGGTCTGGCCGAGGACCGAGCCACGGGGACGCTAAGCCCCGAAATCATCGCAAGGTATGGTGACCAGATAACTAAAATCCAGAGAAACAAATCAAGGATTGAGACAATCTTTGACAATTTAGATTAATTTTAATGAACACAAAAGCTAAAAATACCTCTAAACTTATTTTAATAGGAATAATAGGACAGCACAGTACTAATGAATATGTAGGAAACAAAATAAATTTTTGTGTTTAGTAGAAATGCATTTAACCACTGCCACGACTTCATAGACAATGAGGTTAACCCCCCAATTAACTGGTCAAGATCTATTTAATGTGGGAAGGACAACAAATATATACAGCACATCCAGATAATCCAGAAAACGGGGATCAGAATGATAGAGAGAGATTCCAGTGTTATTCATTTGCAGTCCAGTATTTAAAGGCCTAAAAATCTTCATGTTCTCGCTTTAAGTCATGAAGTAATGCCAAATTTCCATCCTGCTTAATCTGTTAAAAAATTCCTATCATCACCGTCTCCCACTTTTGTGGCTACAGAGTAGATAGGAGAGCAGTATTATTATAAGATAAAAATATTTAAAATTAGATGTACAGCATTTTTATCATAGCCAATCAAAAGTGGCACTCCTGGGCTGGCATATCTTTTTATATGAACAGAAAGAGTATAATGAGAGATGGTAAAGAATATAAAAATTATACGAGTAAAGAATAACGAGAACAGAGTATAAGGAGCAGGAATACTGAAGGGAGTATAATGCGTACAAGGATTTCAAGGACTATAATGCATTCTGTAAGTACAATATGCATAGGCTGGTAAAAGACTGATTAGACAGAGGAGGTTTTGATGGGTGACGAGGCTGTAGTGGAGGTCCTCGACCAGGAGGCGTGGTTAAGGACCGGGCCACCGGGACGCTAAGCTCCGAAATCATCACAAGCTAACAAAGGAGGTGGGCAGAGCTTAAGTTTGGGGAGGAGTGGGCAGACTGAGGTGGGTGGAGAAGGCGCAGGTGGCAAGAGGAGTGGTGGATGAACGAATGGAGGGAGAAAAGAGGGAGGAATGGAGGAGGAGGAAAGGACAAAAGAAAGGTGGTGGTGGTGGTAGGAGGGGAATGATAGGCCTGGAGACGTAAGATTACAGGAGGGGCTGCCTACTGGCGAGAAGAAAGGATGCCAGTTATTTATTTACGACTAAAATTCAAATTACCAAAGCTAGCCAAATAGCTGAAAATTCAATTATTTAATTACTGTATACAGCACTTAAGTGAGATTCATAACTATTTTGAAGTAATTTGGTAAATCAAATTCCAAGATATTAACCAGAGGATGATGCATTCATTCCCAGCTTTTATGAAAAATTTGCAACTTTTAAAACTATTAGTTACGATCATGGTAAGGTTCTAAAACATATACTGTAATATTCAAACCTGAATCTACTATCTTTAACCACTTGTGATATACACTACATAAAAAATGACTTCCTAGAGGTATCATTGCAACCAAGAAACTGAGATTATCTCATGGCATCAGGACACTTGTACCTAAATTTTGGTACAACTACATTTTTTTCTTCTAAATATCAAAGATTAATAATCTCCCCACAACACCTGATAATTTTAAAACACGTTCTAAAATCTGCCACCAGTGTAGCAGTGAGCTACGCTGCCCAACAACACTAGCATGGTGGTGTCCATGCACCACCCTACACAAGCCTTAAATGTTTTAAGCCAATGTGCGAAGGTGTTCTCTATATATCGCAAAGGCAACAGCAAATTTAAAAACAAAAAAATACCGGTAATGAAATGAAAGGTAAAGGGTATCATTACTGAGGAGACCCAATGTTGCTCACCCATTCATTATGATTGCCACACTTAAGATCATTATGCAGAACAGTGACATCATACCTTCAAAACTTTTATCCATAATTTTTTTTATAGTAATTGACCCCTTTTAACAAATGGCATTCACTCAGATTTATTTTGTATTAATGCTTAATTGCCAGGGGCCAGATTCACGAAAGAACTTACACAAGCACTTACGAACCTGTACATCTTTTCTCAATCTTTGGCGGCCTTGTTTCCAATTATTAAACAGTTAATGAGCTCCGACGCACCAGGAGGCTGTTTATAACAATAACAACAGTTGATTGGCAAGTTTTCATGCTTGTAAACTGTTTAATAAGTGTAACTAAAGCCGTCAAAAATTGACGAAAGATGCACACATTCGTAAGTGCTTGCGTAAGTGCTTTCGTGAATCTGGCCCCAGATGATTAGCTTGGAAGGTCACAGCAAAAATAAAGTAAAAGGCCACCCAACAGTTCTATTGAACAGTGAATTAGAACCAGGTCAACAACCCGATTAGTTTTGGCTAAAGATAACCAATAAATTAGTAATTATGAAAAGAAAATGCAAAGCCCGGAGGGCTAAATAATACTAATTTACAGAATACTGTATTCAAGTTTCCAGATATTATTTAGGATGCCAATATGAGAGCAAAGACAGACAAGACAGTTAATGTCAAAGGATGTGAACACAAATATTTTATTGAACATTTTGTGCAGAGGAACAGGGAAAACAAAACTTCCCATCATCTTCAAAATCAGGACAGTCTACGAGGAGATGCGGGACTGTAAATGGTACAATGCAGTTTGGAGAGAACGTAAAATTGGACTACATTGTCAATAATAAAATGTTTTATATTTAACATTGACTTTTGCACTAGTTACAATCATTCCAATGTGGATTTATGATGGCTGTGTATACTCTGCCTGCAAGATAAACTAACCATACTCCTCAAAGTTTGATTATATTATATTAAGCATTATACGGGACTAATCATAACTGCTAATGTAAATAGTGTAAAGTCTTTATGTATTGAAATAGTTCATGAATGCCATAAAGCAGTAACTCAGTTAATTTATACTTGACTGAAAACTTCTCTCTCACAGCACATAGTAAAACAAAATGTATGTGCAACTGTTACAGATATATGGTCTATAGGTACCTGCAATATATGCTCCATAAATGTTTAAGTCTATTTTGAAATATTTTGAAGTATGAACATTACAAATTATATCTAAGATACTTTAAGGTAGAAATCAAAACACGTCATGATTAACTTTTAATCAATTTAAAATTTAATAGAAAAAGAAATCTCCAGTATATACATGAAAATGTATTTACAGCAACTCGTTATTTTTGCTGTTATGCTAAATTATAAACCCCTGAAAAGAACTGATGTGGTATGTTTTATGTATTAAACAAGTAATACTCAATTCTTGGTTCGATATCTATAATGCAGAGTAACATACTCAAATTGCACTTAATGTTTCACACATGTATTAAGAAATAACCCATTCCTATTCACCAATACCTGAAACTTCACCACATGGCTCGCTGGACCCCAGATAACTTATTGTAATCAGCCTCATGACGCCATACTATACGCGATAATCTCCACCTGCAAGGAAACCACACTACATCAAAGACAAAAATCTTCTTAAATGGATGAGATGCACAAATGTATTGTATATACAGTACTGTACCATAATATTTCAATATACTACAGATACATATAAATTCAAAATTCCACAAAATTGTTTAAAACTATTTTTTAAATTTCATTTTTCTGTTACATGTCTAGTAAGATAAAACCCAGCTTTTTCCTACAATGCAGTTGAAAATAACAATATTTAGTCTTCACTTTCCAATAGTTTTAATATATTGTAGGCCAAGTAACTAAAAACCCTTGGTACAGTATTTATATTTTCTCAAGACATATAGGGATTACCATTATAAATACTATACACCCAATATCACAGGCAAAGATTTCTTGAATAATATCCAAAAGCCGAATGAGCAAGCAGAACTCCCCAATCAGAAAACAAGCAAACAAGCATGACCGCACCACTGTCTTAGCAATTCATCCCTCCCTGGAAGAAGGGGGGGAAGGGAAGGTCACAGCCCTCCCACACCAGCTACCCAACCCCAGTTCAGAGGCCGAATGTCAAAAACGCGAAAAACTGCCAACCGGAGGGAGAGAGGGTTGGCCGGGTCTCACCCAGAAAATGGTATTTCATTACACTCAATGCTGGTTTGCTGTGTTACCTTACCAAAGCTAAAGGAAAAGAGAGACTTACCCGGAAGGCAGCCATCACTCGCTCCTCAACTCGAAGTCGAGACAACGGACTGCAACCTGCGATCCAAGGTTACACTTGCCTGAGAAGGGCTTGGAACATTAACGAGGTACCATGCAGCCAGGACCATGTTCGACCTCCAAAAGCCACGTGCCTGAATGTCAGCCCAGGACACATTACCAAAAACAGCAGCCAAAGCTGTGAACTTATGAATGCCATGGGCACATGGAAAGGCAGCAGGCTTAATGGACCAAATAGTCCTGCAGACGACTTGGGAGACTCGCACCCTGGAACAGGAGAAGGGAAACCTGGTCAACCCTGCCACTCAGGTCGTGGTGTGCAAGTAAAGGCAAAGAGCCGCAACTGGACACAAAACATGATGCATCCCCGGCCGAACCAACCATGCATCAACAACCCAAGGACCCCTCCAGGAAGCAGCAGTCTCATTCTTTGCCAGAAAAGAAGAAGACAGCTGCAAAGGAACAAAACGACCACCAGGACCGAAAGAGCAGAAACCACTATGCCGGAGGAGAGCATGAAGCTCCCCGACCCGACCTCCAGAGGCCAATGCCAACAAGAAAAACATCCTTAGAAAAACAGTCTTGAACCGAAGGGGCCACCACAAACTAAGGAGGAGAGAGAAAAGAGAGTACCCGGTCCAAAGACCAGGATGGCTCAGGCGGCACATGAGCAAGCAGGCCAGAGGTGAAATAATGCCAGAGAATGCTTGCGGAACGGAGCAGAAGTGGCATCCACCCCGAACGCAAGCTGAAGCAGCTCTGCCAGAATCCGCACGATACGAAGTGACAGTATCCAGCATACGATGACGGTCCTGAAACAACCAAGAGAGAAAGGACAAAACAACCCAATCAGAAATCGAAGACAACCTTCGAAGAGTCAAGAAGTGCTGAAAAGACCCTCAGGAAACTTCATATTGGCACTGAGATGAGACTCAAAGGTGGGACACCATCAACGGAGCCACCTGATCACCATACAAGTGGTGAGAAACCCGCAGCAAAAAGACCAGACACGAAGATCGGAGAAGATCAAACCAGCCACGTACCATACTGGACTGGACCGATTTGCTGAGAGAGGCGGAGCTGCAGGAAGACCCTCGGGTTCGGACACTGGGCAAGCAGCGCCTGGAACCAAGGCTGGGCCGGCAACCAAGGGGTCAACGGGCCTACTCTCCTGGAAAGTCTCCAAGCGAGTAAGGACCTGGAGCAACAACCGAACTGGGAGGGGGGGGGAGGTACAGGTAACCCCACCTCGACCAGTCCAGGCGAAGGTAGCCACATAAACCAGGAGACGACGCGATCACGCCGATGTGAAGAGGTCCACTTCCGGGTGCCCGAACGTCCGGCAGAGCCAAAGGAACAAGGCGTTGTTGATGACCGTCCATTCCATGGACAGGGGGATGAAATGGGGCAGGCCGTCCCCGCCAGGACATTAGACCCCCTGGATATGAACTACCAGGAAGGAGAGCCAAACTCCTGAGAACTCAGCAGACGAGTCAACCAAAGCGACCAGCCCCAAAGAGCCAAGGACTGCATCAAACTCCCTCAGTTCAGGCAATGAACCACTGGGGAGCAGTCCGAATGGAGCTGAATCATCAAACTGCAAGAGACATGAACCCTCTGAAGCGAAAGCCACGCAAACTCCTGTATCGTGCTGTGAGCCCGATGGAAGGATGGATCCCACTGACCCTGGCCAGCCTGGTAAGCACTGATTACCAGACACCGGCCCAGAACTCAGCTCTTCCACATCCTCCTTAAGACAGCCCCAGGAGGGAAAAGAAGCACAAAACCGAAGCCAAATGCCCACAGGCGCACAAATCCTCGACTACCAGGGACACCGAAAAGGAGGGAACCTTCACATAAAGCTGCACCTGGCCAATATTGTAAGGAAGCAAGCATTGAGGCGAACAAGCAAGCACTAAGGTGCTCTAACTCACCCTCCAGGTAAACCTGCATGACCATAGTCAACCCCCGCCAGACAAAGCTGCAAAACTTGCAACTAAGAGAATAAAAGTCGACATTTACATACCACAGAGTCTATCACAGATTCAGAAAGTAATTAGAAATAAAGCAATGCAAAAGATGTACAGTGATCACAACACAGCAGTTGTAACATCAGGATCTGCGGGGATGGTACAAGAATTCAACCAACTAAGAACCAATTATTTTGATGAAAGGGAACAGTAGAAACACAGAAGTAAACTTACATCGCATCAGGCTTGGATACCCAAGTGCATGGGAAATATCTTCTGGAACCTATAAGCCTAAGAGGAAATGTCAGCATTGTTGAGAAATGCCCGACAGACCACTGGAACATTATCTAACACAGTGTACAATTACAAACCCAGTAAGATTTCAACTTAGATTCAACAGAGCATAAGAAGTTGTTAAACACATGGGGCAAAATCTTACTGAAGTGACCAGATGAGTCAAATATTCATACTCTGCCAAAGTAAAACAGAAACAAGCAACACTTAATGGCCTAGCCAGAGGCTTATAGCCCGTCAGGAATTTCCCTGGAGGGAAAAAAAAAAAAAAACTCCCGCCATGCAAGGGGTGCACGTCTGACAGAACGCATGCTATGCCCCTAAAGAAAAGAAAGGGCAGTCTGCCAGTCAGGAAGATTCCGGCACCTCATGACAAACCCAGTAAGGAAAGAGGAGCCAAACTCAAAAGACAAAGGATCCATTATCGAGTTGTAATGCGGGTCTCGCAGGAGGTAAGCCACAAGAGCCTCCCGCACCTCCCTCGGCGGGAACCAAGGAACCCAAGGGAACCAAGGAACCTAACCTTGAGGTGATTTCGAGGCTTAGCGACCCCGCGGCCCAGTCGTCGACCAGGTCTGGGTCAGAGGAGCCGAACCCATATCAAACTCGTACAGAGAGACAGGATGGGAAAACCCTTTCCCCCTGTAACAATAAGCCCTATGCCGAGGGTACCAACACACAAGCAAGGTCAAACGAGGCAAAAGCTCCCCCCCCCCCAAGTCAACTCCTTTCCAGCCCCGGGATCCTCAACGGCAGGACCCAGGGCCGAGACGTCCTCTAAACCCTCTGCCTCTGGAGAAAAGGCAGAGTCCACTGGAAAAGCAGGGACAAAGGGGGCCTGCTAGCATGACCCGAAAGCCTCTGCCACCAATCCGGAAGGGGCAGTCTCAAAAGCCGCCCAAGTCTTGCCACCAAGAAAGCTCTGCCCCAACTCAGAAATCCTCAGACATTTGGGAGCCAGAACCAGGGAAAGGGAGGGGGGGGGGGGGGGAGCATGATGAACCACAGCAGAGAAAGAACAAGAGGTCGTGGATGAAACCAAAGTCGAGGCAACTAATGCCCCCAAGTCCAGGTCCCTATAACCAAAGTGGGGCAGCCGTGGGCATCCAGAAAGGCAACTAACTTAACACATTGTAGCAACCTAAATTGCACATGTAACACTCGACTATCAATAGCAGTGGCCTGGGTAACTGGAGTACAAGAAAGAAATACCACTGGCAAGAGACTGGGTCAAAGGTGTCATTGACCCAACAGGCAGCATGATGGAGGTAAAGACGATGAGTGTCACGCCGTGACAAGGGGACAGAGCAACCTTTAGACTCACACGAAGCGAGACGTGACTCGGAGACGGGATTTACATACAGTGCCGTTTTCTGTTTTGGGACCTCAGGTGGGTTAGGATAAGGGCATCTTAGTAAGGACAGTTTTTTGACATTGGGAAGCCTTAGGAAGACTGGCTGCATGCCATTAGTATATTGCCTACTATTGAAACCCATGTTGCCCACCTGTTGTTGATCCGTAAAGAGGTACTATACTTACCATTGTCTTTTCTATATGTATTCATTCATGCAAGTGTTAGAAAAAATCAAAGCAGCATAAATCATCAAAAGTACGCACCTGGCAACAAGGCCTCGGGGTCTAGAAGTGAGCATACATCGCTTGTGTAGCTGAGAGATGCTAGATTTACGTGGCAACGCATCTATTTCTTTGTCAGCTATTTCCTGTTGAGGCAAAATTCATTAGCTTTGGCTGCAATGGTTAAGATGTGAAGTGTTGAGCATACTGTTAAAAAAAAAAAAAAAAAAAAAAAAGGTAAAGCTGGGTTTATGGGTACATGTGAAAAAGTAATGAAAAGTCATCGCTTAATCTCCTAATTCCGCACCCTAAATTCGGATCACACTAAAAATACATCATCTGTACTTCGACAGTAAATATTTTGGTAACGTCAAAATGCATCGTCCATCTTAGAATTACCGAAAATAATTTATGGGATCAATCAGAGTATCAGAGGGCCATCCAGAGATTACCCTGGCCAACCACTCATCACTCAAGATGACAACTGCTCGGTTTGCAAGTATTTTCATAATACAGTACAGTATTGTACTGTGAAAATTACCTTCTGAAAAAAATATGAGTTATGTTGAACTGGGTTTTGAGAAGCCTGGAACCTTTACAGTCGAGCGTGCACTGAGCGGCCACACCTTTAAAAGTATTAAGAGGGGAGAGAACAGGATAGAAGGAAAGGAAACTATCAGGTAAAAGCACAAAGCCATTATGACTAGAAAGCACTGAGAAGGGATCAGGATTTGGGATGGGATGGGGGAAAGGAATGGTGCCTAACCACTTGCTTGGTCAGGGATTGAACACCGACCTGCATGAAGTGAGACCATTGCTCTACTGTCTAGCCCAAGTGGTTGGGCAGAACAGGATGGAGTGGTAACGGCAACAAAAATACACAAAGAAATGAGCTTTTCACAAGATCAGATTATATTTTCTAATATGATCATCCTACCACTCGTGTGTATATTGGGTATAAGTCACATCATACCAGAGGCAGTTTGCCAACAGACTGTAAAATCTACCTAATTTTACCCATCCTAATCTAACCCAACACAATTTTTCTCAACTGAACCTAACTCAACCTAGCCTAACACAGCCTAATCTGACAATACAGTAAATTGTTCCTACAATTAGAAGAAAGTTTAGTCAAAATTCCTGTATATGATTTGACCGTACTCATATGGAATACTGTATGTATAGATACCCCTTGCAGCTAAACTTAATGGACAAATCTGTGAACAATATGTATGGAAAGGGGAAGGAAGAATGCACCGATTACCTCACAATGAGTAGGCTTTATACTTAAAATAGACCGACTACCTAAAGCTATGCATCGGAGGCAGAGAACTGTCTTGTCTTAGGTAAATACCACGCACAAAATAGGTAGGCCCATTGTTATCGTGTCTACTCTCCTGACTGCTACAGCCTCCCCACGCGTCCATCACTCGTGCCCGCTCCAGCTATCTTTGTTACTGCTTTTATAAACACACTACATTTACTCCAAGATGGATAATGATCAAGAACAGACCCATTCTAGGACTAAAGCAGGGAAAGAAACACGTTTGTGGGAGAAGCTAAGTAGTGTTCGCCAAAAATACAGCAGTGAAACTTGCACCAATAAAATTCCAGGCTTTAGTTGAAGAATTTTCTGAGCTTGATCTCAAAAGTGCCAAAAGTGACAGTGATGTAGCTAGTGAGGTGGTTAAAACTGAAACAGTAGGTGAGCATGAAATTGAAAGTGAGGGAAGTGATGATGATATCGCCACATATGCTGGGCCTGCTATTAGAACTCTTATCGGGCGTACCCAATACGCTTTACCTGCACCTAAAATTTCCTCCAGCCAATGAGACTAGTAGTTTCCCTGCAGTAGCATATGCAAGTGATGACACTTTAAAGCTGATATGCAAAGGCATTACCTGGTTGATACCTGGTTGATGGGGTTCTGGGAGTTCTTCTACTCCCCAAGCCCGGCCCGAGGCCAGGCTCGACTTGTGAGAGTTTGGTCCACCAGGCTGTTGCTTGGAGCGGCCCGCAGGCCCACATACCCACCACAGCCCGGTTGGTCCGGCACTCCTTGGAGGAATAAATCTAGTTTCCTCTTGAAAATGTCCACGGTTGTTCCGGCAATATTTCTTATGCTTGCTGGGAGGACGTTGAACAACCGCGGACCTCTGATGTTTATACAGTGTTCTCTGATTGTGCCTATGGCACCTCTGCTCTTCATTGGTTCTATTCTACATTTTCTTCCATGTCGTTCACTCCAGTACGTTGTTATTTTACTGTGTAGATTTGGTACTTGGCCCTCCAGTATCTTCCAGGTGTATATTATTTGATATCTCTCTCGTCTTCTTTCTAGTGAGTACATTTGGAGGGCTTTGAGACGATCCCAATAATTTAGGTGCTTTATTGCGTCTATGCGTGCCGTATATGTTCTCTGTATTCCCTCTATTTCAGCAATCTCTCCTGCTTTGAAGGGGGAAGTGAGTACTGAGCAGTACTCAAGACGGGACAACACCAGTGCCTTGAAGAGTACAACCATTGTGATGGGATCCCTGGATTTGAAAGTTCTCGTAATCCATCCTATCATTTTTCTGGCTGTCGCAATATTTGCTTGGTTATGCTCCTTAAACGTTAGGTCGTCAGACATTATTATTCCCAAATCCTTTACATGCTGTTTTCCTACTATGGGTACATTTGATTGTGTTTTGTACTCTGTATTATGTTTAAGGTCCTCATTTTTACCGTACCTGAGTACCTGGAATTTATCACTGTTAAACATCATGTTATTTTCTGATGCCCAGTCGAAAACTTTATTAATATCAGCTTGAAGTTTTTCAATGTCCTCAGCCGAGGTAATTTTCATACTGATTTTTGTGTCATCTGCAAAGGATGATACGAAGCTGTGACTTGTATTTTTGTCTATATCTGATATGAGAATAAGGAAAAGCAGTGGTGCAAGGACTGTACCCTGAGGTACAGAGCTTTTCACTGCACTTGGACTAGATTTTATATGGTTGACAGTTACTCGCTGAGTCCTGTTTGACAGAAAACTGAGTATCCAGCGTCCTACTTTACCGGTTATTCCCATTGACTTCATTTTGTGTGCTATCACGCCATGGTCACATTTATCGAAGGCCTTTGCGAAGTCCGTGTATATCACATCAGCATTCTGTTTCTCTTCTAATGCCTCAGTGACTTTGTCGTAGTGCTCAAGTAGCTGTGAGAGGCACGATCTTCCCGCTCGAAATCCATGTTGGCCTGGGTTATGAAGGTCATTGGTCTCCATGAAATTGGTGACCTGACTCCTAATCACTCTCTCAAATACTTTTATGATGTGCGATGTTAGTGCAACTGGTCTATAATTTTTTGCCAATGCTTTGCTCCCTCCCTTGTGTAGAGGGGCTATGTCTGCTACTTTAAGTGCATCTGGTATCTCCCCCGTGTCCAAGCTCTTCCTCCACACTATACTGAGTGCCTGTGCTACCGGCACTTTGCATTTCTTTATAAATATTGAATTCCATGAGTCTGGACCTGGGGCCGAGTGCATGGGCATGTTTTCAATTTCTTTTTCAAAATTTAGTGCGCTCGTGTTTATATCAGTTATATTTACCGGGGTTTGAATATCCCGCATAAAGAAATTGTCTGGATCTTCCACCTTCATGTTGTTTATTGGAGTGCTAAACATGTCCTCATACTGCTTTTTTAGGATTTCACTAATTTCTTTGTCATCCTCCGTGTATGAACCTTCACTTGTACGAATAGGTCCAATACTGGCAGTGGTTTTTGCTTTTGATTTCGCATATGAGAAGAAATATTTTGGATTTTTCTTTATTTCCTGAATTGCTTTCTGTTCTAACTGCCTTTCTTCAGTTTCATATGAGTGTTTCAATTTCCGCTCGATTTCTTCAATCTCCCTATTTAAATTATTCCTTCTTTGACGGGAAATTCGTGTCTGCATAAGCAGTTCCGTTATTTTTTTCCTGCGTTTATAGTGTCGTCTGCGTTCTCTTTCTACGTTAGATCTCTTTCTGGCTTTCCTCAAAGGAACATGTTTCAGACAGACTTGATACGCTTCTGAAGTAAGTTTTTCTATTCCTTCTGTAGGACTTGTATTATTTAGAACAGTTCCCCATGGAATGTTTGTAAGTTCCCTGTTTATTATCTCCCAGTCTATCCTTTTATTATTAAAATTGAATTTACTGAATAGCCCCTCTCGCTTTATCAACGTTTTAAGTCTATTCTGAGTATTGATGGTCGTTTGCACTTCAATGAGTTTGTGATCTGAGTATGTGGTATCTGATATCGTAATGTCTCTGATAATGTCTTCATTGTTCGTAAAGACCAGATCTAGAATATTTTCATTTCTCGTTGGCTCCGATATCTGCTGATTGAGTGAAAATTTGTCACAGAATCTAAGTAGTTCTCTAATCTGTGGTTGGTTAGGTCCTGATAGATTTCCTGGTATAATATTATTGTTTGCTATTTTCCACCTGAGACTAGGCAAGTTGAAGTCACCTAGGAAAATAATATCAGGTATCGGGTTCTCCAAATTATCAAGGCTATTCTCTATTTTGCTTATCTGTTCTGTGAATTCCTCAGCCGTTGCATCTGGCGGTTTGTATATTAGTATAATCACTAAATTTATTTTCTCTATTTTTAATCCCAGTACCTCTACCACCTCATTTGTAACGTTTAGGAGCTCCGAGCATACAAGGTCTTCCCTAATATACAGACCCACTCCTCCATGTGACCTAATTTTCCTATCACACCTGTATAGGTTATATCCTGGAATCCAGATCTCACTGTCCAACAATTCCCCTGCATGGGTTTCTGTGAAAGCTCCAAATACTGCATTTGACTCCGTGAGGAGGCCATTTATGAACTGTACTTTGTTGTTTGTTCTTGTTTTCAGTCCTTGTATGTTGGCAAAGATGAATGAGGTTACTCTATTAGTGATAGTTTGAATGGGAGACTTTTTCGGCACGTCCATTAATCGTGGACATAATGAGTTTGTTCTGACCAGTACTGATTGTTGTAGGGCAGTTTTCTGTCGTAGTTGTAGTTCCCTTTCGGTGGGTAGTTGTATCTGTAATTCTGGAATGCCAGTGGATCTGGCATCCAGTTCCATACACTCTCCATGCTGCTCCTTTTGAATTCTCTGCCGGTCTGGTATAAAAAATTTATAGAGTTTCCTCCAAATTCATTATCCTGCTTGCCACTCTTTATGTAGCGTTCCGTGCCTTTCACGTGAAAGTGTGGGCAGCTAAGGTCATAGCATTTTCTGTCCTCCAGTGAGGTTTGGCACATGTCAGGATGGAAAAACCTACATATTGATCCAAATCGACACTCACCTTTCCTAAGCATATTTAAACATTTTTTGGGATGTTGGTAACTGCATTCTAATCCTTTCTTATTACCAGCATATCTATGTCTGCATATGCCCTTTGCATAAAATTTGCATAAGTCTGTCCTTCTGTTCTGAATTGCTCTATCGAGAACCGTCGTGGTGTCTGTACCTATCGAGCTGTCAGTGCTGTCTGGTACACTTTCTAGTTTACTGTCATCTACATCCTGGCCTACTGAGTCAGAGTTTGCAACTTCCTGAGTTTCAGCCTCAGTTTCATCCCTGACTATAGCCTCCGCCCCTTGTATATTAGAATTGTTGTTCCTTTCCCACTCCTTCTGGATGGCTGGTAGGCTTCCAATGAATGATGTTTTCCGTTCATGCGTCATGTTATCTAGAAGGTTTTTTAGGATATTCCAAGCTGGCAGGTCATTTTTACACACCCAGATCAAGTGGCCATCTCTCAGTGCCGTAGTGTTACTCACTCCTGTACAAGCCGAATGGAATCTAGTCTTACAGATATAACATTCAATTCCCGTTACCTTCGTCTTTAAGGAGTTGTTACAGTGGCCACAAATTTGTTTATTTACTCCCATATTGCCTTGTTTTGTTGTATATATCTATATATTTATAATATTATATGTATATTGTATATTTGTAACAATATATATGTATATATATTTATATGTTTAATATTATAATATTATATGTATATCGTATATTTGTAATATTATGTGTGTTATTTTGTTCAAACTTTATGGCAGGTACTTAGCGTAGGTAGCGAGGCTGGTCCCCCGGTCAGTACAGGTGACCTCTTGTGGCCCAGGTTGATGTCACCAGTTTCCAGTTACCCGATTTATAACCACTGATGCCGCCTCTTGCCACTATTTTATATTTCTAGTGTTCTATATTTATAATATTCACTTCCAACTTATATGTTGTTGTGATACCCGTTCCACATCACTGTTCCACGAATCACCGTTCACTATTTTTTTTTTGTTTCGTTTTTTTTATCCTAATACACGCATGTACACAAAGCCTCGTTCACTGGCTCACACGTGGTCTCCCGTTTATTCTCTATTTAACACAAAGTTCTATTGTTAATGACTATTTTCAATTTTCCAGCGGTCACTATGCACTTTGTTATGTCTGTAATCAGTAATCCACGGCAGTAGTCCTACGAATCCCTGTTAATGTCACGATTTTAACGGAGCGCGCACGGTACGTCTACCCCCTCCCTCGACCTCGACTCAACAGTTATGTAAAGCATACATCTGAATACTTTATATAGACACCATGTTTAATGAATTCAAAAAATATAATTTGCTCTGTGACAACTGTTTAAGAGGAATAATTCAAACCTGAATTGCTGGTGGAATGATTTTGTTCTTTCTTAGTGCATTTATGTTCAGCCTTTCAAATGCAAATTCCTTCACAGCTTTCCGATGCTTCACTTCCTTAATCATTTTCCAGTTTGGATATTTGTATGTAATGCTGGTTGTGTGGAAGCCGCATGTTGCAAACTGAAAAAGTTTAAAGTAAACATAAGGCATAAAATAACTGGCAAGATTTGGGAATGGATAAAACCAACAGTTAAAACATCCAAAAACAGATTCATACTAGATGGAATATAATCAGACTGGTAAAATAAAGCTTTTAAGCATGATATACTGTTGCTCCACAAGGTAAGATCTGTTGTGTCTAGAACAGTATAGTGGATAGTCAGACTGGAGTGACAGTCTGGAACTGGCACTATAAGAAACAGTTAAAATAGTCACTGCAGTCATAATGGTGTTAAGAGGGGACTGAAAAATACTCATTTCAGCTAGGAATGACCTCCAAAACTATTCTTAGCAACTTAAAAGTCCTTTCAAGCCCTTGTTGGCATCACACATGGCCACCAATAGAGCATTTCTAATAACTACCACCTACCAAAACTACCACTATGAGGCACCAACATATCTAATTTCTAGTTAGAATATGTGAGGGAAATTCAAAGTTTTCTAAAATTTGAAGAGTATTTGGCCATTCTTTTGAAAGAGACTCACAACGGTTAACTAACAGCCATTCGTTGTCTGCCCCAAGTCTCCTCCTACACTGACACAGAAAAACTCAGTGCACGGGAGAAGCAAGGACAAAATAGAGGGAGCAGAAGCAACCAAATGTCCTGTGCAGAAAGGCATTTTTCATATACAGTACTGTATGTATAATATAATGAAAGCCTTATTTCTGAGCTATTCTACTTAGTTCCTAAAGTAAGGATATTAAGGCCAGAAGCGCAGCAACAAAACAGTGATAGAACACAAAGGACAAAAGCTAAGTCTGAAAGATGAAAGGCCCCATGTGAAATGAAACTTAGATAGGGATTGATAAATGAAGGAAACTAAACAAACAGCAAGAAATCCCTTAACACAGAAGCAAGACATTTAACTTGCTAGCCCTAAACCATGAGTAAGCATGAGAATACAAATTGTGAGCCGAGCCATTTTAAACATAAAATTGGCTGAATAGTGAACACTGTTATAACAGCAGTCTGTGCATATTCACCCCGGATTGCACTTTGTGAACTCGGTCCCAACATCAAAATAATCACATATCCCCTGCTTCGCAAACTCTTGTTCATTGAATCGGGTGAGTAAATCCAGCATGGAAAGTGTGTTCCAACCAGAGATTAGCAAAATTGAGGTTCCACTGTATTTGAAGAGGAAAACATAGCCCAAATTTTAAAAGCATTACCGATTTTTTTTTTTTTAAAGATTAACCCTTAGACCGCATATATTACCGTGCATATTGGGGGCCTGGTAGCGAAAAATATTGAAATATGTAAAAATAACTAAAAAATGTTAAACAAATCTCCAATTTGTTGGCTTCTGTGTCATGAAACTTTCATCAAAATATTTTCAGAAATTGATTTTAGACAAATTTAAAAAAAATAAGAACGTTTTGTTGATAAGGAGAACAACTCCTAATAACTGGAACTGAAGGATTATGCAATAATAAAGAGATGCAGGCACCTGTCCAAAGCTCAAAGAACAGTAGTAAGAAGTGTTCACAAAGTGGATATGCAGTTGGTGCCTTTATATCATTGCTGAGTAATATATAATAACTCAAATAATAATGAATGACTATGTTAATATGCTCTATTTTGTTATATATCATATAAATACATTGTCCAAAGTTAATATATGTTACTTTCATCAGTCCCAAATTTTTTTTTAAGATTTTAGTTTTTTCTCCTTTGTTTATTATCTGTATGTTGTAACCTTTACATCCTGGAGAATGCATATGTTTCCCTACCAATGTGAAGATACCTTGTAGAATGAAATTGGTCAACAAATAAATCAGTCACAACTCACAAAACTTGGGACTTTTAATTTTTTGGGCTGATTTTTTCTCCGATTTCAAACTATTTTCTTTGTCTCTCTAGGTTGTTTTGATAATTAGGGACCATATTAGGGCTTTTTCACTTATATAAAGTATACCCTAAATATATCCCTTAAATTATTATAATTATCCCTATAATTTGTGTTTTTTGGGGGTTATTTTTTCTTGACTATTTCAACACATTGACCTACAACTTTCCCATATTCGAGTACGAATGCCAAACAATGTTTATTAAAACATACAATTAAATTAACAAATTAAAACTACCTTTATTCATGGTTGATAACTTCAACTTCAATTATATCTCTGAAACTACGAGTTCCAACTTTGAGTGGCTTCTAAAATTTTAGTTTTTGACCGATTCTCACTATTGACATATTGTGTGCTCAGCTGTATGTTTTACAATCCCTTCAGAATGAATTTTTCATAAACTTTATACATTTGAAGTTATAATTTTTTTTTGTCTAAATTTACCACATACAGTACTGTATTTCAAATGCCCTATTGACGATTTTTTTTTACCGTAAACTGTAATGAAAACCTATACAGGTATTCTAATTTGATGAAAATGAAGATCATGTGTTATTCTGAGATAATAACAACATTAAATAAACAATTGGTGATAGTTCATATTTTTTATTCTGAAATGAAAATCTGAAGTTTTCAATATTCAATTTTAAAATTAATTTTCTCCTGTTTTTCAAGTTACGCTGTGATCATTAAGACAAAGTTGGAGCATTTGCCGAGTCGATTATGCAAAAAAAAATTGGAAGGTGTTTGTGCAAGTTTTAAAAACTTATGTTAAATTATTTTTGTCAAATCATATATTTATGTATTGCGTGGTCTAAGGGTTAACCATGCAGAGAGGTTAGTGGGGCCCTGACAGCCGAGTGGGCAGCGTTTCAGATTCGTAGTCCTGAGGTTCTGGGTTCGATTCCCAGTGGACAGAGATTCTTTCACCCTGATCACCTAGCAGTAAATAGGTACCTTGGAGTTAGACAGCTGCTCCGGCCTGCTTCCTGGGGATATGTAACAAAAAGGAGGACAAGTCAAGGACCAGGACACTAAGCGCCAAAATCATCTGAAGATAATCTAAAGATGCTCATCAATTGATAAGAGTATTATACATTACCATTTCTAAGGCTCATTACTGCACTTTCTAAGTAAAGGCTCATGATATACAGTATTGTGCATGCTTAGCCATAGCATACCCACCGAGTACCACTACTGTATTAATATCTGCAATACCGCCAGCTGCCTGGTTCGCTTTGAAAAACGTTTTTTGTGAATATCACTGATCAGATCTTTGTAATCAGTTTTTAATGTACAGTACTGTACATCCAAATACTGTACAGTACTATAATGCGGCATTCCACAGACCTATATTCAAATACTGTACCACAGAACCCCCAGAGGAGTTTCTATACAAGACCATTGTACTGTCTAATTGCTCCTGAAAAGGCACTGAACCACTTCTGATGGGTCCGTCAAATTATCCAAAGCTTCCTAGCATTACGTAAGTAATGAAGACGTATGATATATTTACTCACTATAATATTGGTGCTGAATGTAGAACATGAAAAAAAAACTTATTTTTACTCTGAAATAATATAATTTTATAATGAAAGTAGATGAAACTAATTGTCGGGTGACACCACACAAAGTTGACAGTCCAAGCGACATTTTTTTTTTTTTTTTTTTTTTTTGAGATATACACAAGAGTTGTTACATTCTTGTACAACCACTAGTACGCGTAGCGTTTCGGGCAGGTCCCTGGAATACGATCCCCTGCCGCGAAGAATCGTTTTTTCATCCAAGTACACATTTTACTGTTGCGTTAAACAGAGGCTACAGTTAAGGAATTGCGCCCAGTAAATCCTCCCCGGCCAGGATACGAACCCATGACATAGCGCTCGCGGAACGCCAGGCAAGTGTCTTACCACTACACCACGGAGACTGTTACAGTATAAATGTTGTTGTGGTGTTGTGTATAAATGTTGTGGCTTTGGGTAATTAGATGGTACTGTAATAATTTACAATTTCATTATAAAATTATATTATTTCAGAGTAAAAATATGTTTTTTCCATATTTCTACATTCAACACCAACATTATAGTGAGTAAATATATCATAGTTCTACATTACTTACATAATGCTAGGAAGCTTTGTGTAATAATTTATTTTTCCTCAGAATATTTTTTTCTCGTCAGATTGTTTTAACCACCAGGTACCCATTCACTGCTGGGTGAACAAAGGCTACAGTTAAGGATTGCCGCCCAGTAAATCCTCCCCGGCCAGGATACGAACCCAGGCCAAAGCGCTTGCCAAGCGCCGGGCGAGTGTTTTACCACTGTGCCATGAGGACTGCTGTCTCGTCTTTGATATGATCCTTTCTTAAAGACGTGTAAAACACAAGATTAACTTAACAAATAAGAATTAATAAAGCGTGTGCTGAATGATGGAACAGTACTACATTGGTGGCATAAAAACTCAAGAGAGTTAACATGCAGTACAGCATACCAAATATATTTTTGGGGTTCTTGCACTGCAGAAAACAAGGTTTAATGTACTCAAATGGCACAGCAATGGCCAAACTATTTAGCCCTAGAATTTGACGGTAAAAAAGTCACTGTATACCAGTATTAACAATTTGACCTCTATTAACCAAGTCATCCAGCATAGTTTCATGGGAGTAGGATTAAATCATATACTGTACAGACATTTTGGACTTGTTTTCTAATTTCCAAAACCATATACAGTACTGTTAGGATAGGTTGGGTTAAGATGGATATGGTAGAGTTTGGGCAAGATTAAGTGTTAAAATCCACTGGTGAACCATCTTTGTTATGATGTCACTCGTACCTATTTCACATTAGGTACAGCCGTCGTATTTTCAACTCTCCTCTGTTAAACGAGCCATTAAGTTCAAGTGTGTTTATTGAAACAAGAAAATACATATCAAAGGGATAGAGTAGATTAGATTTTTTATTCAGATAGGTACTTAGGCTACTTCTACCCCCAAACGAGCCATCACAAGCTAACCAACCATCCTAACCTAACTTGTCCTGGCCTTAACACAAAACAACTTTAGGCTAACCTAACTCAGCTGGAAAATCAAGAAGTGTGCCAAACTGGAAATGAAAGAGATGATAATCTAATTATATGTGGTTTTAAACAATTAGAAAATGAACTTTGTAAAAATTTATGTGTACGATTTCACGATTTCACCATTCGTCTCATCAGCACAAGTTCCAGGTTTTCGTGGCAGAAAACTTGTCCAGCAAACACAGCTTGCGCAATTACTTAGATCGAATAAAGGATGCCGAATCTATATCTCACCCGATGCAAAAATTACCAACGCGCTAAAAGCAAGGCTGTTCAATGAACATCTAATTTATAACTCAACATGAGCCTAAGCTAGGCCTAGGCTTAAATTCCAGAATTCAGCATAGGTAATATGTAACAAATTACGTGCAAGAAAACGTACTGCAATATCACATTAAATTTCAGATTAATCAAGTTGTCAGTCGAGTTTGTTCTCATTTCACAATAAAGAATTCCTGGAGCTTAGAATCCCGGGCGGGACAGAAATAACTGGGCGCATTTCCTATCACCTAATGCCTCTGTTCACCTAGCAGTAAGTAAGTACCCAGACATTATTCAGCTTGTTGGTGTTGCATCCTTGGGGGGGGGGGGGTAAGTAATTTGAACCTAGAGGCAGGGAAATGGGGACCTCAATATAAGCCTAAGTATAAATACACTGGCTGCCTGTCCCCCGACACAATGAATTAATGAATAATTTGACAATAAATTATTTGGACATAGTGTATTACAAGCAAAGTAAGGCATGTCATCCCTATGCCCCTAGTAAGCTGTTTTAAACAATAAATCTCATAAATTAGAGATGATTGTGACCAGTGTGGTGACGGAGACTGTACAGCTGGCTGGGATATATACATGATATATGGGATATATACATGATATATGGGATATATACCATATATGGGATATAAACTGGGATATATAGTCAGTCAAGCTCCTCTCTGCCCTGATCTATTTTAGGTCACACACCTCGTGTCCCAGACCACCACCAACCCCCACAACAACACTCCCACGCCCACACCTGTGACTAGGAAGCATATTCATAAACTATGAGGGGTAATGTGAGTCACCTGAAGGAGGGCCGGGGCGGCCTGGGGTAGTGAGAGGCGAGAGAGTGTCAACACAGGAGATGAGGCGGCGGCGGCCATCTTGGGACTCGTCCACTGTGGCTCTTCCCTGCCCATCACCCCCGCCATATTTATTCCCCCATCCCTCCCAACCATTATTATACACCTTACTCATCACACCAACATCGCAAAAATTATTTTATATATTATCAATTCATTTTCCGCTGTCAAAATAACCGTTTGGTCGGTTAATTCGAGGTATAAGAGAAGAACGGGTGGGGGAGGGTGAGGGGAAGTAATGGCCGTACCCTTTAACACGGGATTGCAATATCCCCTCAGCCCGGACCTGTCAACGGCCTCTCTCTCTGCCAAGCCGGCCACCAGGTACGACTGCTTCCCCTCCACCGCACCAAACTCTCCAACCAAAGTGGATTTTCCGCTTGTGACTGTGAACTGTGGTACTTGTGCTGCAGAATTGTGCAAATTCCGCTCAAAATGGCATTATACTGCAGTTGGGAAATTATGCAGGAGGCTCGCAACATGGTTGTCGACGAGCCGGGAGATAGATCGATCAATCCAGGCGACTCGTACGCATCTATCTCGGCAAAATGATGATAAATATAATGATGTTGGTATAAGTACTGTTATGAAAATAAATACTCCTTCTCTCGCTTCATATATTGCCGACTTTCCCGCCAGGGATGAGCGGGCAGTGTGAGTGAAACGTTCTGTTGGAACATCATACAATTTAAATCGATAATGACGGCTAAATATTAATTTGTAACCAAGCTAAGAAATATTTAAAAATATATATATAATATATAGTTGGCATTGAAGTGTAAAATATTAGAGGAACAATGCAGAGTATAAATTCCAAGTTCAATAATATTTAACACATACAAAGGCAGGCATATTATTAAATTAATAAAAAAAATAAAACTTCTCTAAGACGCTATCTCCCACGTTAAAGAGAAGGGAGACAATAGAAAACGAGAAATAGGAAAAATAAAAGTAATACGATGCTACTGGAATTAAAGATTTGACCCAACTCCCACTATAGACTGCTGCATAGAAGGTAGGACTAGAGTTTAAGATTTTTTTATGTTAGGCGGCCATGTTAGGCGGTGATTTTGGCAAGAACACGTGCTCTGGGGAACTCTGCATGGTGGTGGTCCTCAATAGTATTTTTAGCTGAGGGGAATGCAACTGCCAAGATCAGACACCTCCACTCTCACGTACTAAATGTCTCCCACACTCCACATCTCTAATAAAGTTAATTTTTTAGATATTATTTTCTTTTATTTTGCTTTCTACTCATTAATGATCTCTCGTTTTTAAGTAAATATAATCGATATTTCCGTTTTTTTCATGTTTTACTAGTCCTTTTACGCTACTCTAATCGTTCTGTTTTTGTACCCAAATAATATTGATTTCTAATGTTATATTTTCATTCCTATTTGTATTAAAATATATATTTCCTCTTCCTATCATAATTATTAATCCTCAACCTGTATAACTGAAATTTCTTATATTTCTATTTCATCAGTCTGAATTTATTATTTACATTTTTTGTCTCTTGCCGCAAATATAGTCTTATTCCCTATATAGATTGTCATCTATTCGATACATTATTTTATGTATCAAGAAAATCGCTGAAACCTCATGATATGAGTCAGAGTACCTGTTTCCGTTTTCTTTAATTTTCAGGGTGGCATATGTAATTAGTAGCGACCATTATCTGCCATATGCCAAAGGCTACTTCGTTAATACTATATCTAAAATATTAAGACCCAGAAATATGTATTGTCATACCTGTTTGCTTATATAGCGGGTGATATAGTTGATTAATGTGAGTCGTTGATTATTAGTGAGAAGGTGTGCGAACAGTCCCCCAGAAGCTTCCATGATACCGGCGGAGACCGGTTCCGGCAAGCAGCCTAACCTGCATACTTTCCCCTTGTATATCCTCCCCGAGTCCTCAAATACCAGTCATTCAACTTCCATCACACTTGCACCTGCGTATGATATATATATATTTAAGATACAGAACAATACGAGGGTTTCATATGAACTGTTATAATGTTGATATTATGGATTAGTTTTCGTGGTGCATTTGCAGGGCGTTGGATGATCGACCGCATCAACAAGTATAGTGCCAGGCACAGAGGGGGAGGGGGGAGAGGGGGGTAGGTTGCGGTGCCAGGAGCGCCGCCCCCGCTCCGATCTCTCTCTCTCTCTCTCTCTCTCTCCCCCAACACCATCACCGCCGCACAACTATGAACTGAGACAAGAGAATCATCTCATATTTTACTCTAGTTTTTCGACTGTATCGGTTACACAACTGCCCCTACGTAGCTTTGAGTTTAGATCGTGATGTGGCATCTATAAACCGCAAATTTATTGACACAGAGTGGTAATATGCTCCCTTAACAACACATGCTTTGGCTAACTCATCAGTTCTATCATGCATTTGGAGGCCAATATGGGATGGGATCTATAGGAGGCAGACTCTGACTCCATCATTTATTATTTTATTAAATCCGAGTCCTACTTCAGACACATCACCGTATGTCTTGAAGAGTTGATTGGAGTCAAGGTTGACAGTCGCTTACATGACCTGTCAGCTTGGGGGTACATATAGAGTCAGTTTAGAGCGAGGAGTATGACAGACAACTTTGTCTGAAGAGTGGAGGTCCAGTTATTTATGGGAACTTCTCCGTTCTGAATAAGAGCCATCTCTCGTTGTGACAACTAGTGCACTTTCGGTGTCACCAGTGGTGTGGTGTAGGGGAACCATCAGTGTCAAAAGTTTGGGAGAGGGTGTGCGCTCTACTTTACAGGGGATACAGCCCCGCTCCTGTGCCAGGTAAGTCCACTACAGGCTCACCATAGCCCGTGCTACTTGGAACGTATTGTTCCCAGTAGCTGAATTTAAAACAACAACGACAACAAGGGTGTGCTCTATCGAAGAGGAAGCCCAATAAGAAGACGATGTCCTAAGAAGGCCATCGACCACGTCCCTCCACAGATCTACAGTATCAGCCCTTGGTACTGGTCATGGCTCCTAACGGCCTCCATTTACGGGCTATTCACGCCCGTGCCACCTCTTGGGGTAGCTTAATTGATCAATCAATCAATCAATCAATCAATCGTGTGCTCTATGACCAGATTATCAATCTGGCTTAAGGCATTGCAATTTGCCTCAAATCGAAGCATGTGTTGTTCTTTAAATACCTTCTTGAGTGGTATGGAAGGGATGGTGTAATGTGGAAGGGGGGTGACCTCCCACCATGCAAGCAAGTGTGGTCTTTACTGACAGAGATCAGCAACCCGATACATTCTCAGTTCACTTGTAATACATTCTAAGGGATGTTTACCCCTCGTTCCACAATTATTATATTAAACTCTAACCTTCATTTAAAAGTTTTAATATAAGCTTTAACATACTATACGTCCAACATCTTTATGACTATTAATTATTTTTACAACAGAAAGAATATAACATAAAATAAAATAAATTTTTTAAACTTAAAATGAAATCCAAATAGCTTTTTTTGACTTTGCAATGTCTTTTTTTTTTTTTTTTTTTTTAGATATATACAAGAGTTGTTACATTCTTGTAGAGCCACTAGTACGCGTAGCGTTTCGGGCAAGTCCCTGGAATACGATCCCCGCAGAATCGTTGTTACAACCAAGTACACATTTTACTGTTGAGTTAAACAGAGGCTACAGTTAAGGATTTGCGTCCAGTAAATCCTCCCCGGCCAGGATACGAACCCATTTTCTCTAACCTTACCATCGGGCTAATATTTTAGTGTAAAAACAAGTGTATTTCAATACTTATACTGAAGAGTGAAGAATTACCGAACCGTCCCTATTTCAGTATAGATTCCTGCACTAAGCGAAACTCGTACAGTAATTGTAACCAATTTATTCTAAAATTAAACTAAAAATCGCCTATTTTGAAAATATAAATAATTGCCCTAGTGACAATATTATGTATTAAATATATATTGGGCTAGCGATAACCCTTTACACTTACGTGTATGATTAAAAAACAATTCAGTTTATAACAAAACATTTAAAATAGCATTGTCCAGAAAGAAACCATATAATAGAAAAAACTAAAACAAATCGAGGTAAATTAAGGCCCATTATCGCTCAAGCTCACATACGTCTCCCAGCTCGTACACGTGTATCTAGAGGTTTTCTTGAGATGATTTCGGGACTCAGTGTCGCCGCGGCCCGGTCCTCGACCAAGCCTTCACCCCCAGGAAGCAGCTGTCTAACTCCCAGGTGCCTATTTACTGCTAAGTAACAGGGGTATCAGGGTGAAAGAAACATTTTGCCCATTTGTCTCCGCTTCCACCGGGGATCGAACCCGGAACCTCAGGACTACGAATTCGAAATGCTGTCCACCCAGCTGTCAGGCGCCCTGACATAATTTGATAATAATTTGTTATACATAAATAAAATAAATACGTGTAATTTGTCAACATAAATAAATCAACTGTATCATCACAGTTTATCAAACTATCACCATCTCAAGGAACCTTAACACAAAGTGTGAGGGTTTGTTAAAACGAACCAATTATACATACCATTTTAATTTGCCTATAATGTATGTAACCCACACGCACCCATCCATGAAGTAGGCAGTTTTTTTTATTATTATTATTTTCTACCACAGACGTGGCCACACATTTACAATGCTAACCAGCATATATACATTTTCTTCTGTCCTCCATGGACAGGGTGAGAGATTTGTCAAACATACAGTTCAGATCGTAGTGCTTTTAAAATGTTAGGCTAAGCTACATACGTAAATACATAGATACATAGATTTAAGAATGCATTAATGTGAATTTACAATAGTGAAATGTAATTCTGATCAGAAGTAGGTAGTGGTTGACAATGGCTCTTATTTTGAGTGGGGAGCCCAGACGAACAAATGGGCCTCTACACATTGAGAAAATGGCTCTATGTATTTGGTTTGACAGTAAACGCACACATTAACTCTTTTATAATAATATTCGTTAATAACGCTAGTAATATAAGCAGACCTCGTAAATTAGGGTAGTGCGAGGCAGGGAGTAGCCTAGTCACGTGAACCCGGCAGCTTTAAGATAACCTGGGCTGCGACAATCAATATTTTCCACCAGCAAAACACGCAAAAAGAGGTCACACTTTAGTGTACCATTTGAGTAAGAAAGAATGTCTGCTTGTGTCTCTGTTTGTCTGTCCAAGGTTGGAGGCCAGACGCTTAGGGTTAGCTTCATTAAAGTTTATAGGATTAATCGTGATTTTATGGGGTGTCATGAGGGTTCGGGCCTATGCCCGAACCCTACCCCACTACTTCAAGGGGTAGTGGCCACTTCAAAGGGGGGAAGGAAGGAGTGTGGGGAGGACACGGGGAGCGTGTGTGGGGAGCAGATGGGGAAGATGAGTGGAGGGCAGATGGGGAAGGGTTTGGCGGGAGATGTAAGAGTGTGTTGGGTGAACGGGAAGATATGTGTTGGGGAGGAGATGGAGAGGCTGTGAACATATTTACAGTGATAACATTTTTGGAACAGGATGGCGGGATCGAACCCCTGTCCTAGGACAGAGAGAGAGAGAGAGAGAGAGAGAGAGAGAGAGAGAGAGAGAGAGAGAGAGAGAGAGAGAGAGAGAGAGAGAGAGAGAGAGAGAGAGAGAGAGAGAGAGGAAGGAGAAAAGGAAAGCTAAAGGAGAGGGGAGAAAGGTGGAGGGAGAGGGAGGGGGAGATGGGAAAGAGGGAAGTAAGGGAGTAGACGGGAGAGAAGAGAGAAGGGAGGAATAGAGAGGGAAGGGGGGTGGGAAAAGGGGAAGAGAGGGGGGGGGGAGTGGGAGGAAAGAGCGAGACACGGGCACCGCCGGGTTGCCCGTGTGTGTGTATATATATATATATATATATATATATATATATATATATATATATATATATATATATATATATATATATATATGTCGTACCTAGTAGCCAGAACGCACTTCTCGGCCTACTATGCAAGGCAAGATTTGCCTAATAAGCCAAGTTTTCCTGAATTAATATATTTTCTCTAATTTTTTTCTTATGAAATGATAAAGCTACCCATTTCATTATGTATCTTGAGATGATTTCGGGGCTTTAGTGCCCCCGCGGTCCGGTCCTAGACCAGGCCTCCACCCCCCAGGAAGCAGCCCGTGACAGCTGACTAACTCCCAGGTACCTATTTACTGCTAGGTAACAGGGGCATTCAGGGTTAAAGAAACTTTGCCCATTTGTTTCTGCCTCGTGCGGGAATCGAACCCGCGCCACAGAATTACGAGTCCTGCGCGCTATCCACCAGGCTACGAGGCCCCAACAGGTCAATGTATGAGGTCAATTTTATTTTATTGAAGTTAAAATTAACGTAGATATATGACCGAACCTAACTAACCCTACCTAACCCAATCTAACCTATCTTTATAGGCTAGGTTAGGTTAGGTAGCCGAAAAAGTTAGGTTAGGTTAGGTTAGGTAGTCGAGAAAACATTAATTAATGAAAACTTGGCTTATTAGGCAAATGGGGCCTTGCATATTAGGCTGAGAAGTGGGTTCTGGGTACTAGGTACGACATATATATATATATATATATATATATATATATATATATATATATATATATATATATATATATATATATATATATATATATATATATTAAAGTAATAAACAATATACCAGTGGTGCAGTGGTTAGCGCAGTTGGCAAACGGCCGACTAAACACGGGCTGGGCGAGACTTGTGAGCGAATTTACTTACACGTAATGTCTCTGTTCATTTGGCATTAAGTTCCCTTGTTGTGGTTTGTATATGGGAAAGGTCAGTCGTTCGCCGGGGGGGGGGGGAGGGGGTCCTCGATAAGTGGAAGAGGCTTCCCATTCCTCTAACAATGTGTAGCCATATAATTTACAATACAAGATTTAATAACAGTGATGAGCAGGCACTGCCACGTCCAGCAGTTGGACGTGTGCAGTGCCGTACATGTGCAGCAAGAGAACACACCGCTTCATGTGGTCAGGTGTACACCGCTTCACGTGGTTAGGTGTGTTCACAGCTTCACGTGGTCAGGTGGATACCGCCGGTCCTGAAGTCCTAAAGTGTCATATACATTATACACAAATACATTCACTCCCTCCTTACACACCTCTTCCAGCCAGCCTCGACACTTACCATACACCGTGTGTTGTGTCCGCTGGGGAGTTTAGTTTAGTTTACCAGGCACTGAGAGAGACGTGAACTCTGCGTGAGTTTACCAGGCTCGGAGAGTTGTTGCTTTACTTCCACTGTATATCCCTGTATACTGTACTATCCCTGTATACTGTACTATCCCTGTATACTGTACTATCCCTGTATACTGTACTACTCCTGAAATAAATATTTTGAAATCATTGCCACGTGCCTCATCTTTACCAGTTAATCTCTCATATGAAAGTGTCAAAAGCCTAGCTAAGGTCAAGATAAATAATGCTGTATGCGATGGCGATGCATTTGCAGGCGATGTGACTCATCGCCTGCAAATGCTGTATAACGATTTTTTACCCTTGTTCGCTCCTCTAAATATAGCAGGGTTTCCAAATGAAGCCCTGCAATGAGTCATATATTATTATTTTAAGATAACTGAAATAAGCTTGTTATTAAAGCTTCAAGCACTTTCCCATTGATGCTTCCCCATTCACGTTACGTAACCTCAATGTCTTAAGTAATTTCCCCAATACCGTAAGTAACATCCCATTAATGTTAAACACAGAAATCACAATGGCGTGATGCATAAAATTAACAAATCCACATGGTTCGAACCCTCGTCACGGCTCTTGTGGATTTGTTCATTCCATTAATGTTTCAAGGGACTTCCATTTGAAGCTTCAGTAAAGTGACATTACCCTCATTAATTCAAGCAGCTTCAATAAATGCTTCAGATAACTTCCTTTCAGTGCTCCAGTTAACCTCTCCTCAATGCTTCAAATTCCTTCCCCTCAGTGCTTCAGGAAACTCCATTCCTTTAAGTTGCCTTCTTCAGTAATTATAATTTCATTGATTTTCTATACCTCCAACTTACCAATGTTCTCTGGCTCGCGCATGCGGGACAAACGGTAGGCACAACCCACAGTTAGCTTTTGAATAGTCATGCCATCGTGGAAGTACATACAGTAAACAACGTATATTTCACTAATCAACTGTTGAACCAAAAGATCCACAGTAATTTCCTAATTGCAGTATGACATTACTCATTAAGCAATGAAGGCTGTACATCGTGTAGATGGGCACGACTGCCTCTCATGAACAACTCGATTCATCATTCCACAATTTACTGAATAATACAATTATGTGTAAAGTTGTTCTGATGTTGTCTTATTTCTTTCAGCTTGTAAGCTTTGGTGAACCAAGTCCCAGCCAACATGGGTAAGGAGAAGGTCCACATTAACATCGTGGTGGTGGGCCACGTAGACTCTGGCAAGTCTACCACTACTGGCCATCTCATCTACAAATGCGGTGGCATTGACAAGCGAACCATCGAAAAGTTCGAGAAGGAGTCTACAGAGATGGGTAAGGGATCCTTCAAGTATGCCTGGGTGTTGGACAAGCTGAAGGCCGAGCGTGAGCGTGGCATCACCATCGACATCGCTCTCTGGAAGTTTGAGACCAAGAGGTTCTATGTAACAATCATCGACGCTCCCGGCCATCGTGATTTCATAAAGAACATGATCACTGGAACATCCCAGGCAGATTGTGCCGTGCTGATTGTGGCTGCAGGAACGGGAGAGTTCGAGGCTGGCATCTCCAAGCACGGTCAGACCCGAGAGCACGTACTGCTGTGCTTCACTCTGGGTGTCAAACAACTAGTAGTTGCCATCAACAAGATGGACAGCACTGAGCCAAAGTATTCAGAGGCTCGCTTTGAGGAAATCAAAAAAGAAGTAGGGAATTACGTGAAGAAGGTCGGATATAATCCAGCTATTGTACCCATCCTCCCTATTTCTGGCTTTAATGGTGACAACATGCTGGAACCCTCAGACAACATGCCCTGGTGGAAATCGAAGAAGATTGAGCGTAAGAGTGGATCCTACGAGTACCTGACCCTCTTTGATGCTCTGGACAACATCGAGCCTCCTGCAAGACCAACGGAAAAGCCTCTTCGTCTGCCCCTGCAGGTACCGTATCAATGTGTTTCTTTCAATTATAGAATAAATAAAATTGCTGACCGCTTCGAGTTATGAATTCTTCTTCATGAATTAAGGGAGTCATGCATGAAACAGTGCGCCTTGCCATTCCAACTACAGTACTCATGTCATTATATTATCCTTTTTAATTGATTTTTGATACATCAGTTTTTGGCCTTAGGGGGTGTATATACAAAATGCGATGTACAATTCGAGACCACGGGTTGAAGGGAGAGTGATGTTATGAACATAATATTCGCCCTTAGGTTAGGGGGGACTTCAAGATAAGCCTATAGTATGTATATATGCACTGGCTGCCTGTGCAGGCTGCCAGTGCCGATACTTACCATTATTATCGATACTTACAATATTGTTTTACAGACCAAATTTTTGTTCTATTACCAAGGCTTGGAGTATTATTAAAATTAATTGAAAGTTTCAATTGCATTCCTTCATCACAAAGCACAACATAACCATGGTTAATTCCTCCTGCAGGATGTCTACAAGATCGGTGGTATTGGTACAGTGCCCGTAGGACGTGTAGAGACTGGCATCCTCAAACCTGGCATGGTAGTTACTTTTGCTCCAAATGGCCCCACCACTGAAGTCAAGTCTGTTGAGATGCACCACGAAGCCCTAGTGGAAGCTGTCCCAGGTGACAACGTTGGCTTCAACGTGAAGAACGTTTCCGTTAAAGATCTGAAACGTGGTTTTGTTGCTTCTGACTCAAAGAATGATCCAGCCAAGGAGGCCCAAGACTTCACTGCCCAGGTGATCGTCTTGAACCACCCCGGCCAGATCAATGCTGGGTACACGCCTGTGCTCGACTGCCACACTGCTCACATTGCCTGCAAGTTCTTCGAACTGCTGGAAAAGATTGACAGACGTACTGGTAAGGTCTTAGAGCAATCTCCCAAGAGCATAAAATCCGGAGATTCATGCGTTGTAAAAATGGTACCCAGCAAACCGATGTGCGTAGAAACCTTCCAGCAATATGCTCCACTTGGACGTTTTGCGGTACGCGACATGAAGCAGACGGTTGCTGTGGGCGTAATTAGGGAGGTAACAAAGAAAGAAGGCTCTGGTAAGACCACAAAGGCAGGTGAAAAGGCACTCAAGAAGAAGTAACTATCTGTGGAGGGCCGCCAGGGCCTGGTGCGTGCAGAGGGCACGAGGAGCTCCCTGCTTGGTTCACCCAATACTCTTATATGCCACAGGAAAGTCGTCAGGAGGAAAGATGCCCTTCAGACTAGGGCATTTTTTATTATTTCTTGCTGTACCATGTGGCATTTTATGAATAAATTATCATTGATAATATACACCAACTTTAATTTAAATTGATGGTACTTCTTGCCTTTATTTCTCCTCTGTTAAAAACAAAATACCCTCTTTTAATTATTTTTATTTTTAACACACTTTTATAAACATAAATTGCAAGATAATTTGAGCTTACATTATAACTGCTTTAACTTTACTAACACAGGCAAACCTGTACAACATATCTGTGATGGTATTCAGTGATTTACATTTGAAGAATATTATTTGGGAAAAGTCAATATAATGTGCCAAAAACATATACAAAAATATACATATTAATGAGATTTTGTCCACTATATTTTGTAATAAAATTATGACAAAAATTTAATTATGACCCATATGCTGGTCCCAGTTATGAATCTCTTCACAGTAATGTCATAAACTGTGTGTAGGCTCTATACTCTATTCAAAACGTTTATAATATTTTAAAAGTTTATATATTTATGTATACCATTTTAAATTAGAAAAATATTTATGTTTCTTCTGCGGCCATGTTAGTCTACCGAAAAATATTTAAAAGTTACAAATGGTGTTGTAGACGTGTTGATGTATTCGTAATGTTTTAATACAAAGCTTGTTGCTACAGCAAGGCTGAAGTTTACCACGGTTTACCTCACATGGTTTGCACTCGAGATTACAGTAGCCTATGAATAATTTTGTCCCCATCTTTCTTATACTTGTATGCATTAAATGTTTTCACAAAATTTAAAGATTTGGTAGAAAGCTGCTACAGGTAAAAATACCATGCATGGATGGCTATCACAGTGAAAACTACTAGAAGTAAAATAAATTAAGTACTCAGTATGCAGATCTCTACTCGTTCAACAATTATAAATTATGCCAATGTGAATGTCAACTACTCATGTAAGCAGGTATAATATGCCTAACATTTAAGTATTAAAGTTGAATGTTATTAAAGTAGATTATAATTAAAATTTAAATCCATTACGCAACCGTCAACAGAACAGCCGACAGAGAGCATTTGTATAAGTTTGTCCCGACTCGAGAACAATGGATTAAAGGAGTTCCGCAAAATAAAATCGGACCTTGCATGCATTCTTCTTAGTTTCTAAATAAACAAAATATGACCTGCAGCTGGTGATACTGTATAGTTGTATCCGGAATAAATTCCGAAGGCCCTAACAAAAGCTACTTAACTCTTCAGAGTGCATTCCATTAATAACAATTTCTCCTTTGTATTACTAACCATAGCAATACCTGTCCTATATATATAATACTATATAATGTTAACCAATAATTTAAAATGAAAAATCAATTACAAAATAACTCGTGCAATTATATAAAGCTGTAATGGAATGTGTGTGTGGAGTTTCAACCGATTTACAGGAACTGATATTTAGTGTAGATTTAACAATAAGCAAATTTATGATTACCCACACTTGCTTGATATTTCACATAGCCTCATGGAGTGACATGGAGCATGGAGTGACATTTCCTGTGCCTCATTAAAACTGGATGACAGTATTTGCTGTTGGTAATCATATATATTCATGTACAGGATATATATATACACGTATATACACCCACAGTACTTGTATTGGCATGCAAAATTTACTCAACTGTATACTAATTCTGATGCTTTGTACTAATCTAGACTAATGAACGAGGTTATAACACGCACAACATACCTAGTTAATAAACAAGACAAAAACAATAGCTCTCATTAACCAAATTGACTAACACTAAGCGTTTCAGCACTGTCCAAATCTTGCTTCAAACCCGACTGTGCAAAAGCATATTACCTAGAGAATACGTGCATCTGACAAAATGTGATACTTTGACTAGAACGAGGGGCCACGCTTCTTGCAAGGATGGCGTTCGATTCCACATATTCCAGTTTAGTTCTCAAATTCCCTTCCAAGTGCTACATAGTCATACTGGCTTAACGCTTTGTCATCTTAACTACCTCACCTTACTTATGGCCAACACGCTCCACTATAGTACACATGTAAGTACTAAGTAAGAGACTAGGAAAAACTCCTTTCATTGTAATGGGGAAAGAGCAAATAAGGGGAAACCTAAGAATGGCGGTAACTGCAGGAGGCTTACTAGCCCATACGAGGCAGCAACTATTTATATCCACACAATCTCATTCATATATAATGTCTAACCAACGCTTGAAACAATGAAGGGTTCCTACTTCAATCACGTTACGGGGTAATTGGTTCCACAAATCAACAACCCTGTTACCGAACCAGTATTTATCCAGGTATTTCGTAAATCTAAATGTATCCAATTTATACCAGTTTCGTGTTGATACTTCTAATACCTTATTAATATCCTTTTTGTTATGTCCATTCATCCACTTGTACACCACAATCATGTCAACCTTAATTCTTCGCCTTTCTAGATAATGTAATTTAAGCTTTGTCACTCTTCCTAATTTGCTGGATTAATTTAGTCATCCTACGCTGAATGCGTTCTAGTGAATTTATATCCATTCTATAGCATGGCGATCAAAACTGAACTGCAAAATCCAAATGGGGGCCTAATAAGAGCACGATATAGATGACCACCACCAGGTGTTTTATTATTAACGCTTCGATTAATAAATCCCAGTGTCCTATTTCCATATCCCATTCGCAATCTCAACACCATTTAGCTCGTGTTGATATTTAACACCTAGCCTCAAAACCTTACATTTGTCAGCATTAAACTGCATCTGCCAATTTTTTAACCATTTCAAACCCCTATTTAGATCATCTTTAAGCGATAGCGAGTCTTATCGTTTATTTCCCTCCCGATTTGTGTATTATCGGCAAAATTTGCTGCTCAAACCTGAATCCAAATCATTTATTTATATTATGAATAACAGAGGTCCCAGGACAGAGCCTTGAGGTACTCCACTTACATTTTCTCACTGACCTAACCCCATTTATACCGTTTTCTTTGTGTATAGCCATGCCCTAATCCAACTTAATATAGCCTCCCCCCCCCCACCTCAAATACCGTGAGCCTCTTGTATTTTTAATGAATTTTTTCCATGTGGGACTATCTAAAGCTTTGCTAAAGTCAAGGTCCAATACGTCACAAACCTTACCAGAGACTTTAGTACCTTTATGCCCTCTTTGTCAACATTCAATGCAGCCATCAGTGGTAGAACTTTACTTTTGTCTTAGTTATACAGATTTCAAACTATTTTGTCTAGGTTGTTTTTGCTGAATGGGGACCAAATGAGGGCTTTACCACTTGTATATCCCCTAACCCTTTTCTTTGTAGGGGGGGGGGATTCTTTACCTCATTTCAACACACACTGACCCACAGTTTTCACACTAATACGAATGCTTAGCAATATATAATAAATCTTACAAGATATCATAAATTGGAACTCTTTCATTGTCGAGAACGAAATTTTTAGGCATGAACAGGAATGTCATCTATGAGAAAAACAGATTCTCTCCATTTTTACATATGTGCAACGTTCTAAGTTCCAAGATTTCATTGCTGTCTTATTCATAAACCCGTAAGTTGAAATTTTTTTTAATTTTTAAATTAAAGATAAATTTTAAATTAGTCTAGTTAATTTGAATGTGAAATTGTCAACCATTTTAAATATTTTACTTTGAATTCATTTACTTGTTATAATATTTATCCATTGGGAAGTGGGAGCACTTGCTATGCTTCCATTCTGTCAGCCTGTATATAACTACCAAGATTAACTTTTTCATTGAATTCTTTTTTTTTATTCGTTCTGGGACTAAATTTCAAATTTTCCTTAACATGTATGGCTACTCCCCCCCCCCCGTCTAACTTGTGTGAAATATGTTAACTGGGTTTATTTGATATTCGGCTAAGTTTTTCTACAATCATGCTTCACTAAGTGCAATAATATATATTGTTTCTGTGCAGACAAGAACACCTAGATCGTTTATTTTGTTCCAAAGTCTTCTACTGTTCCTGTAATATATATTAAGTATTGCTATTATGAGGCCATTCTTCCCTGTTCCATTTGCAATATCCCCCCCCCCCCACACAAACACTTATTGCCTTCTTTCTCCACATACCACTGGCAGTTTAAACCCAATCTCTTCCAACCAGATTAAAATGAATTGGCAACAGCAACAACTCCAGCCCTAGATAAATGAACCCCATCTCTATCATACGCGTGTTTCCAGTAATCAACAAATGATATTGCATTTTATGTACAATACTGTCCAGTGGACAATTACAAGTGACCTCGACAACCATTCATTTCAAACGCCATTTCTTGGAAGAATGGCACATAGGAGCAATTCCGATCATAACATTCTCTGGCAGTCTTAAACCTGTGGATCAGTGCCTCACCTGACTCGTGCTACGTCATTTCCACCGGCATCGATACAAATATAATGGTTTTGTTCCAATTTCCAACTATAATATCATTAATGTTATTTACACTATCATCAATTCCTTCACCCAGATAGCAAACCCTTAACCTGTTTTCCCTATCCCTGTCACAAAAAGCTTACCCAAGTACCTCGCTTGGGAATCTACCACAACCAAATGGGAGGGAGCATGACATTTAATGCAGTACATGGAAATTATAAGTTAAATGAGAATAATGATTTCAGTATATTATATAAGCCCTGGGATCAGAAACAAATTTTGAAAGCCTAGGAAACTTAACATCTGCATCACGATACAAAAATCCTAGATAGCAGTACGACAAAATAAGCATGACAAAACAAAATGCGTATGTATGCAGACTTGGCAAAGGCATTTGATAAAACGATCAGCGATGGACCATAAAATGAGATCAAATAGATCAAGTAGTGAGTGAAATGCTCTGTACCTTAGGGCAGTACTTGCTTACCTCTGTTCTCATTATGACAACCAAAAATACAAGTCAACTTCAATATCATGCATTGTAGAAAAAAGAAAAAAAATCTTGAGAACATTGCAAAACTATCTGCAGATACTTTGCACAGTAAAATAACATACCGAGGTGAATATGGTAGGCACAATTACGAACACTAAACATTAGAGGTCCACCGACGTTCAATATTCTCCCAGCAAGTGGAATAAATATGGCTGAACAAAAAAGTGGACCTTTTAAAAATTAGTCTCCTGCAAGATGAGCCACAAACAGTTGTAGACGTGAGCTTGCAGACCACTCCAAGCAAGTCTGTTGGAACAAGCTTGGCGAGCTTGATCCAACCCCACTCCATGTAAGGTAAGACGAGCAAAGTTAAATATCAGATTTTTATCGAGGGACAAATGCCAAAAGGTACATTGGAAAATACAATTGGATCCTGAAAAATCAAACATTACAAGAGAAGGTGCACAGAACGTAACAATGAAGTTTTAAAAACTCAATCTTTAAATTTACATAAAAAAGTGCAGAAATGCACAAAGCTAATTACAGCTGAAAGCTGTATGTTTTTTAATTACTGGGAACAAATCCTTCAAACAATGTCATACAGGGACACTTAGCACTGTTGCAATATTTTAGCATTAACAGCCCCATGTAAAGCTGAAGTTTATGACCTGGTAACAGACTAGAGAAAACTTTGAAAATATTAAGAGGGACTGGGTTCAAATAATTCTTTAACAGACCAGGAAAGTGCAAAATAGACCCATTAAAAAGTAAAGGTGCAATGGGCTTGCCGAAAGAATTAAAACTTAAGGGGGCAACGACTTTAACACCCTTCAAATTATGGACAAAATTTCAAATATTGCCACAACTGCAATATCTAAGCATGTCTTGCATTTCATTCATGTCTGGATTTACCATGGGCAGGCAAAGGTTAGTGTTACTTCCTTGCACGTGTCCATATGCTGTTGTACAAATGGTGCAAGAGTATGGTATTGCACAATGTGACATTGCCCCTACAATGGGTCATAGTGGCACTGTATGTGCATTCCTGCCCATCTTAAGCTTCCAAGACACTGCTGAGTGACCAAACTGTTAAGCCTCACTGACTTGTTATTCCATTTGTAGTGTTAAGGCATAGATCTTTCTTTTTAAACTTTTCCAATGCTATACTTTTAGGAAGTTACATTACACACAAGGGTTCTTGCCACTTGAGGCAAAACAGGTGGGTTGGGGCTTCAGAAGCCACCAGATTAGCAGAGTATCCCAATATAATTCACAATTTCAATAAATTACACTTCATTCTGTATACAGATTATACCATAATTACCAATTACTACAATTTAATTACAAATACAACTCAAGAGGAAAATGGCCCACGGAATTGTCAAAAAATGCTACACATTATGTATAACTATACAGTATCAGTAATTTATCTTTCAGTTGCAATCCTAAATCACAAAATCATTCCACTTGTGAAATTGCCAAAGAAAGCAATTTTAACCATTATCAATCCCAAGTGAACATCAAACATGAAAAGTGTTGCTATTCTTAATAAATAATAGTTTTAACAGGGCAAATAAAATAATTTAACAGTTCAACTTTATTCCGAAATTACAGAAATAGAAGATATATGGTACCTAGCCGAAGAGACCTGAAAAAGAAAATGTATGTTAGATAATGCAGGTGAAGAGGGAAATAAACACCAAATTAAAATCTTTACTATTGGCAAGTTAGAACTAATATATCCTTGTAACTGGGTGAACACTATGACTATACTCACTGAAGCCCATGTCATCGTCAGATTCTTCAGACTCGGGCGCTTCTTCCTTCTTGACCTCGGCAGCAGGTGCTGTGGGCAAAGAACTCTTTAGTGTCTAACATAAAAGATTTACATCGCTTATTTAAAAGTGTAACCATCAGTAATATAAAGTGTAATCACAAAGTATCAGGTGAAACACGGTAATCATCACAATAAATAAAACAAATCTTGTCGTGGCCTTAGTTTTGTTCATTGCAAGTGCACTTCTAAACTGTTAACTACCACTTTTATGCACTTGCAAGACATTTTTAAGTTAATAAAATCCACAAGTCATAAGAATGGCAGGGAAAAATGTAAGTATACATTACAAATACTGGAGGAAAAATGGAACATTGTTATCTAGAACTTAATTCCTGAATTACCAACGACAATCATAAAACTTCTCGATGCTTCATGGAAACGAATACATTCAACATACAAAGTATAATCACAAAGTACTTTCCTTTGAACTTGTGACAATCTTAAAAGTGCCCGAGCAACCAAGAGACAGCCTCACTGTTTAGGAAAATGCAAGGGAGTTTATAGATTAACTAGCCAACAAACTGAAGTGAGAAACCACCAGAGTGAATGTGCAAACGTTAAAAAGGGTACTGTAACCTCATCAAGTTTTACATTCTTTAAACCATGCAATAACTTTTAGGTCCTTTTTTAACAAGTACATACCTGACGCAGCAGCAGCAGGAGCACCGCCGCCACCAGCAGCTACAACACCACCGCCGCCGCCACCAACACCTGTGCCAACATTGCCCACAATTGACCTGATGTCTAGGCCAGATGATGCCTTAGCAAACATGCCTGGCCAGTATGGCTCAACATTTACATTGGCAGCCTTCAAAATTGAACTGATCTTCTCGGCCTGCAAAAATAGTAGGTATTAGCATTTTAATTTTAAAAGCAATTAGTAACCATCCAAATTTCAATAACCAATACACATTTAATTTCATAACTATATATCCAAGAAGTACACAGACTTTACTTAAATAAAAAAATTGTGCAATGAACCGACAACTTCTCAACCCCCCCCCAAAAATTACAACTGGTCGATTCAAAATGGCTTCCTAATTTTTATACATAATCCCATTTTCCTCATACTAACTCATTCTTACTGAATGTACTATATCTTTTATGCAATCTATGCTGGCACAAAAATGCCAGTGGTTTAGGAAAATTAAAAAAATCCCTTGGTTATGCTCACCCAATGCAAACTGTACAGAGGAGTAGAGGGGTCAGGCTGTAAATACAGCACATTCTCAGTTTCTCATCGTTTCCCTTTATATCATGCCAGCTTGTACATTTGTTATACAATAGAAATGAAAATTTAAATTCAACTTTAAAATTACAAATGAATCCAGCTGAATTTTTCTAGTCATTCTGGCCAATTTGAATAAAGCAGATAAAAGATGGTAAGGGTCTTTCCATATTACTGATACTGTAGCCAAGAAGCACTTTTATTGCAGTCTAAATCCACTCCAATGCCCATAACCGGGCATTGAAAAAAAGCAAAAAGGTTTCAAATTTAAATAAATGTGGATCCAATTAAATGATGCTAGTGTCAAGCGAGGTATGTGTAAGTTGGTATAGTGTCCAAATGGCATAGTGGCCACCCTACACAAAGTCACTCCAGTCAGCAGACTACACCACCTTTGTTAGCTCCTCCTAACATACTCTTTTTGCTGTTAATACACTACATACATACTATATACATGCATTTACATTTGTGTAGTAGTACATTCATTGCTAGGTGAATGAAGGAATAAATTATAATCTTGCTTAACCCTTAAAGAGAACTTGCCTCAATAGCCTTTTAACACCATTAGGTGTTAAAGGCTCCATAAGCTCATTGAAGTACAAATTAACATTAATAAAGGTAGTAGGTCCAAGAAAACCAACAAATGAGAAAGGTTTTTCAATCAATTCAACTTCAACAATAAGAGGATCGAATGGGAAAAATTAAATAAGACATTGCAAACATTCAATGGAAACAGCGACAAAACTTGCACAGGGGATAGCTCAACCGACTGCTGAAGCGTGTGCCTGTGAAGAGGGGTCAAAGACCATTAGAAAGATTGCAGACTGTATAGAAAAAAAACTGAAATGCTTAAACAGACAAGACTCGAGAAAGGAAAAATCAACACAGGGAGATTAACAGAAATAGAGAAGTTGAAGCTATCATACGAGTCTGGAAATGGAACAAAGCTATACAAAAGAAAAATCCAAAATATACACTTTTTTACACATGCAAAACCAAAAACCTCCACCAGTATTGGACCTTTAATTACAACTGAAGGCATACACCGAGGAAAAAGATGTAAAATTCTAAGTCAGTAGATGCCATGTTAAGCACCCTAATGAATAATTAAAATTTAACCGGATTTTAATTATTGGGATTGTCTGAAAGGTCTCTTAAATGTACTCGCTAAAAAGGAGACGGGAGATAAAATAATATACACGTGGAAGATACTGAAGGCCAGGTCCCAAATCTGCACAGTAAAATAACATACTGGAGTGAATGATATGGAAGAAAAGGCACAGTAGAACCAGAGCAGGGGTGCCATAGGCACAATCAGAGAACACTGCATAAACATCAGAGGTCCACGGTTGTTTAACATCCTCCCAGCGAGTATAAGAAATATTGCTGGAACAAAGGTAGATCCAGTAAATCCTCCCTAGTCAAGATATGAATCTAGGCCAAAGCCCTCGCAAAGTGCCAAGCGAGTGCTTTACTAAGCACTCGCTTGGCAACCAATAACCACAGCCCAGACCAACTGGGCTGTGGTTATTGGATATGTGGGCCTGCGGGCCGCTGCAAGCAACAGCCTGGTGGACCAAATTCTCAAGTAAAGCCTGGCCTCGTGCCGGGCTTGGGGAGAAAAACTCAAAGAACCCCATTAAGCAGGTTAAACATGAAATTTGAAAATCCAGACAGCTTCTTTATGAACGACATCCAAGCTCTAGATAACAATCGATAACACACGGAAGACTGAAAATTGACAATATGCACTCATCCCCAGGTTGACCGAATTTAACAAAGAAATGTATAGTACCAGTAGCACGAGCCCTCAATGTAATATGGAGAGAGCCTGAATTCAGGAGATATACCAGCAGATATAGCAAGGGAGGTAGTAAAGCTTTGGCAAAAAATTATAAGTTGCACTATCAAGTTTTTGAAAGTATTTAGGAATCAAATTTCTAGTTTTATGGAAAATAATAAACTAAACACAGGACAACATAGATTTAGAGTGGGAAGATCCTGTGTCATATGATAAAATCACATGTATACACAGACTTTACATAGGATGGATTATGAGAACGTTTAAATCAAGAGATCCCACAGCAATGCTAATGTTATTTAAATAAATGGGGCTGTGCCGTCTAGAGTAATGCTCGGTACTCGCTTCCACCCTTCCAGAGCAGGAGAGATCTGTGCATTAGAGGGAATACAGAACATATACAGCATGCATAGAAACAAAGCTAAATTATTAGGACCACCTTGAAGCTCGAGAATGTACTCCTTGGAAAGGAGACGAGAAAGGTACCAAATAACACACAAGGAAGATAAAGACCAGGTCCCAAATTTGCACAGTAGAACATACTAGAATGAAAGATACGGAAGAAAGTGCAGAATAGAACTAGTGAAGAGTATGTGTGCCACCGACAACACCAAACAGAAATCCACAGCTGTTCCAACACCCTCCAAGCAAGCATTAGAAATATTGCTGAAACAAAGGTAGATCCAGTAAATCCTCCCTAGTCAAGATATGAATCTAGGCGAAAGCCCTCGCAAAGTGCCAAGTGAGTGCTTTACTACTGCACCACAGGGACCGAAGTAGAATAAATCAAGCGGACAAGACCTCTTCTACAATCACTTCAAATGATTGAAAATACCATAAGAATTAGATAAGTAAATCTTAAGAGAACAGCCATACCAGCATGAATTGATGGATAGGAAACCCTCTTTACAAATTAACCTGGTGTACAAAATGTGCAAACTGGGTAGGTGATAGAAGGACTACCCTTGCTACAAGATATGAGAAACCTATGAGCAGGGGGGTGATATTGGTGACATTCCACAGGTATTGGGGACAACCTTATCCCTTGTGTGTGAAGGACATACCTGAAGGGATAGATTCTCCCCATGTGACTAAAAATTAGTTCCATGTTTAAAAAACTGCAATGTGACCCAACTCAAAATTAATAATCATATATATATAGTTACCTGGAGCATACTTAAGAGAGGGTTTAGAGTTTTCTACTACCCTACTGGTTACTACATTCTAAATTAAAAGTTTTTAAGTTATAGTGTACATAAGGTATGGCAAAGCCAGTGAAAGCAAAAATATAATAATGGAGCTGGAAGAAGCCAGACGAGGTCCCACACGAGAAAATACTCTTGTCCTGAAGCACACGTCATTACACAACCACCAACAGATTTTAATAATTACCTAATCAAACTAACATCCTAAGAACATGTTAACACAGAAAATGAGCTTTAGAATATTAGTGTACACTTTCACCATTACCCCCCCCCCACGAGCAACACCTCACAACACTACTCATAACGAACCAAGGGAAATATGCACTACCAGAATAACACGGAACAAAACTGCCAATTTCAAAACAGGACAACAGCTAAGAGCAGGTCACCTGGCACAGGTGGTGGCCCGGGGCCCCACCACGTGCTGGGGCCCCCCAACCACGTGGCGGCCCACGTGCCCTCGGGGGCCCCCACCATTACCTCCCTCCCCCACTATGGTCCAATACTTCACCACACGTCATTACAAGGCTCCATACGTAGATTTTAAGAAAAAAACTGCAAATATTTTAACATTAACATCGATATATTTTTTTTTTTAGCTTAATATCGCAAACTCATCACATACCTAAACACAATTCATATTCCTCTGCTTGATATTATTAACGCCTATATACATATCCCTCTCGTAACATTCTCAAGACAAATAAGAACAAAATTATCCACCCCTCCGACACACTCATGGCGACCTCACATGTAAACAATGTCCAACACCTCCACATATTTCTACCAATATCCTCACCGTGATGGGAACGTCGTCGTCCATGAGGATAAGGGCGGCATACACGCACGCCAACTCGTCGTTAGTGGCCATGATGAGAGGTGAAAACAGACGGATGTCCCTGCAACTCGGCGATTTTGGACCACCTTTATCCCTAAGCGGGGAGAAGCAGGTTGTGGGAGGAGGGAGAGAGCGCTCGGGCGCGCCTGCACGCCGCACGTCACCTGCGCATGCGCATGCCTCTACGCTTTGCTTTTCATGTATATATCTAATATAATTACTAAATAATTTATACGCAATGTAAAATTTAAGGTCATAATAATTATAATAAAGAGGAGATGTATACACCGAGAGGTGTACTCTGTGTATTGGTGTATATATGCTGAGTTTACTTTAGTCATATAATTCAAATATTATACTGTATCTCGTTAGTAATATCTTATAGATATTAATATTAAAATATTATATATATAATATCTTAATATCTATAAGATTTATCTCATACATATCAGGCTGACCTATGTATGACTCACTAAAGAGATGGGGATATTATTTATTTATTTATTTATTTATATATATACAAGAAGGTACATTGGGTTTGTGAGAATACATTGGATAGTACAGTATTTACATTCTTGTAAAGCCACTAGTACGCGCAGCGTTTCGTTATTAGGTGAACTTGCAGCAAGTTTTTGCTTTTAATTTTGATGTAAAAGAAAACTATGCATTGCAAATGTAAATTGCTTAGCTTAAAGAACTTTTGAATATCCTGTTCTTGATTTATAAGCTTCCCGAGAACAGAAATTATTTAGGTCTGCTATGAGATACGTCGGTATGTAACGTAACTGAAAAGTCGCGTCAGGTCTTCCATTGGTAGTTCAGTGTTTCGACGAATGTATGTTGTAAAATGTTTAGTGTTTACATGTCTAGCTTTGCAAGTTCGTCATGTATGTGCTTTTTAAAAACCACATCAAGTTGATCGTTTTCAACATCAACTGCGTCGGATGTTAAAGTATGCCAAAACATTAAATTGTATGATTTTTAAGAATGTTCAGTTTCTTTGAGTATTTTGTGAAGTGTAATATAGTTTAACGTCGAATTTTGGTTCAACAGCCATGGACACCATTCCATCACCAATGCGTATCTGTCAAAGATCACATGTTATTTTGAGAAGACTCGTGGGGGGGGGGGACTGATGTAATCCCTTTTCGAGAAGAATTTTTAGAAGAAATGCTGATGTAAATGGTATAGAAAGTCGCGGATCCCTCTGAATGCCTGGCTGTACGGGGCGTGTTTTGGTCAGATTAGCAGCAGCAGCAGCAAATTGAGTTTTAAAATATACCTGGAAAAGATTAAGGCAAATGTCGGAGGACCTTCGACAAGCCACCGGTTTCCTTTCCTCGTCGAGGCCACTATGGTTAGTGACCCTCAGGTAAATCAGGTGAACTGGGCCAAGCCACTCGTTGAGTTTACATTAGTATATGGTTAGAAGAAATACTTTTTTGTTTTCTGTATTAGTTGGGCTTAAGTTGAGGGAGGGGAGACTATGGAGGAAAGATTGTTAGGTAGTAAATCCCGAGTATAATTCATATGTACGAGTCTGTCTGAATAACGTGATATATGCGAGATCATTGGAACAAGAAGAGGATCGAACTAGCGTCTTAGCATTAGACGCGCTCCTTAATCTACGATATGGTAACGATATATAAAACCTGGGAACTACCGGGATCCACAAGTATTATGGTGGCATCGCGCTTCCTGTTCCTGTACCTGTTGTCAGGTACAGGAAGCCCGGTAAGCTAGTCTATGTTCTTCCCCTTCCCTCCAATGGGACATGGAAGAATTAAGGGGGATCATGGGACCAATACAATTTATTGTACTAACAAAAGAATCACTTTGTTTGTAACGTACGATTATGTTACGTTGTTTGGTAGATTAGATACAGTGTTTAGCGAATTTCATATTTATTTAGTAGTCCTGGATACAGCAGTGTCGTAGACGTTGAGACGAAGCTTGGAGCAGAGCAGAGCCGAGTGTGGCCAGAGTCGTGGAGCTCTGTGGGAGAGCGTTGTAGCTGGATGCAGTCCTAGTCTGCTGCCTGTTCTGTGTCGAAGCTGTAGCGTCTTGGGGTCAATTAGAACTGCCTACGCCGAGTGCTACATTCTTGACTGGAAATTGTACTGTTGTCTATTCTCACATCGCTTCCCAATATTTGGTGACTACCCCTCACCTTTCTCTATTAGGATAGGAGGATGCGAGAAGTTACCGGTAATTAGGGATAGGATTATAGCTTGTGTAGTTAGTGCTAATTAGTTATGCCATTAAGATGATAATGGAGCGAGTATAAAGATTACTCACTACATGTTGAACTGAACGTCTCCAGTTATTATTTTCAAGCAGTTTTAACAATGCAGGGACTGACAATTCGCCACCCCATTGTCCACTGAATTATTTTGCTCTAAGTAATTATCGAAGGCGGGAAGATTATGTACTATTTTCAGCCTAATTTTATTGTTGGAGGGGGAGGGAGCCTCACAGCGATACCTTGTCTTGCCACGGGACTTTGACCAGGGACCAGAGCTTGCTTACCACTGCGTCACAGACCGTGACTGCGTCAGAGGGAAAAATAGATGTAAAGACTACACAACGAGACATTGAGTAGTAGTTTATTAATCATCAAACTGTTTATTTGCCTTAAGGGAATTAAGACACATGGGTATACACATGACCGACACGTCAAGAGTGCTTACAATAGCCTACTTAACATGTATAGATAAAATATGTAAATTAGGATAAAATTAACATTAAAAAACTTCGTAAAACCTTTCATAAATAAAAATGTCTGAACAGCAGGCATATAAAAATTAACTTTCATCCCATTGAAATTTGACTATTAGTGTTTAAAGCCGTGACACAGTGAGCAGTGCAGAAAGTGACCCTTCAGTGTTGCCTCACTGGCAGGGCTCTGCTTCACAGGACCTCTTCACCACGTAGGTGACGCCGAAACCTACACGAGAACACTTTGGCACGCCGTCTCCACCACCAACCCATTCACCTTCAGAGGGAATGTTCTGCAGGCATGCTAGGCTGTCCCGCCTTTCGTAGGAATGTTGTTCCTCCCCCCTCTCGCTCTCTAGCTGCAGCTGCACCACCACCTGCCGATTTTCTTGCTGCTGTACCACCACCTGCTGCTGCTGCTGATTTTCTTGCTGCTGTACCACCACCTGCTGCTGGTTGAGTTCCTCTGGCTGCAGGCAGGAAGGGTAGTAGTCCCTTCCGTTTCCCTTAGGCACAGGTGTGTCCACTCTCTTTTTAACTTTATTTCGGGGTAAAATTCTTTGGGGAGTCAGGAAGACGTGGTCACCCTCTAATCCCAGCTTTGGCACACACTTGGCCACGGTGGTCGGTGTGGGTGTGGGGGGATCCCGCCCCACAGCCGAGTCAGAGGCACAACGTGGTCGTACAATGCACGCCGCAGCAGCAGCAGCAAAATTTTCAGCATCTTCATTTGGTGTTGCCTCCTGCAACCCCACACAGGATTAGCGTATACAAGTAATTCTAACACACAAATACTACAAGTGTTATCTTTCAAAACCGCTTGTAACCTGAAGGTGAATTCAGTAGGTCTCTGGCATTATTGAATTTAAGGTTACTGCAATGTTAAAGAATGCAATTTAAATTTTATGGAACAGCTTAACAAAAAAATTATCTTTGCGAAATTGTGTTGAAGCATGCAATATACAAGTTTCTTGGTAACGAGCAGTGAAAAGTTAGAGTATGCCACTGGCAGAAAGTTAGTTCAAGTTGTTATATCTAGTCTCGATAGTCAAACTTAAAGAAACTTATGCATAAACTCTAGAAAATACTGACCTTTCCGTAATTAATAATATTTACATTGTAATAGTCAAATTAATAAAGGCTGTGTAATACTGTGAAAAAAATCTTCCCAAATGCTTGTATACTCAATATAAAACACTGGCAGACGAGGTCAGTACCTACCTGACGGGGGCAGAGGAGGCCGAGGTCAACACTGCCATGACCCTCCCGCGGTCTGTCCCGGGAGAGAAGGAAACACATGGACTTTGCAATACACGGATATAACAGTGGCACAAAACTTTTAGAAGACTGCTTAGTACACTATTAGGCTCACACCGCTATGCCTAGAGCAGACTATGGCTACCGTTTGCATGCAGCTGTGTTTAATACTTTAGCTATATAAACAGAGCCAGGACTCGGTAAACATTTACGCATCAACTTACGGAACCTGTACATCTTTTGCCGGCTTTGTTTATATTTATTAAACAGTTTACGAGCATCTAAACTCGCCAAATATTGTTATAAACAGCTTCCCAGATTTTTAAACTCAAACTGTTTAATATATGTAAACAAAGCCGTCAAAGACCGAGAAAAGATGCACAGGTTCCTAAAATCTTGCGTTGATGACTGAGGATCCGGGACGCCCCATTCATTTACCAGGACGATTAGTCAATAGTCCCAGCGCCACAAACACCCTCCCCCCCCCCACTCACCTCTTCTTGAGTGCCTGGACCCTGGGAATGATGCAAGACAGTTTCTGTCTTCTGAGAGTGTCCTTATTGTTTTCCTCAGTGCCACCGCTCCCACAGTGAGGCCTGGAGCACTGGGAGATCAACTCCTCGTGCTGCTGGGGAAATTAGATCAGTCAGCCTCCAGCTACCAGGAAAAATGAATCTTATACACAGGCCTATACACAGCGTTTCAACAAGTTCAAATTCTATATAACTAAAAAATCTAAACGAGAAGAATCTGAAAGAATACCGAATCACTCAAGTCACAAACTACAGAGCGAAGGTGGATGCCGACCTTGAGGTAGTTCTCGACATAAGGCTTGAGAGCGGGCAGCACCAGGAGGGCGTCGGCCGAGGGGCGCCGCTGGGGCTGGGTCCGCAGCATCACCTGCACCAGGTCTTGCACTAGGCTAGAGAACTTCCTGTATCATGACAAATGAAGCATTATTTCCCCCAAGCAATAACATTAGGATCAATAACGTTCATCGTTAGATTTAGTCAGAGAACCAGTGGTAAATAGTTCTATGAATAACAAAACGGACTAGTAGAGGACTTTATTCTCAAAGACTTATATGAGGAGCATTTTTGCTTAGTTTGTCTTACAAGATTTGCCCACTTAACACCAATGAGAATACCGTCTTCATTTTTATATATAAAAAATAAAAAGTGGGGACAAAGTTTGGTTGTACAGAGTTTACTTTAGTTCTGGACAATGTTAAGGACGAAATTATACTTAATGGTTTGCAAGCCAGCTATCGTGGTGCCTTAACCTTCCAGAAGGTGGACCCAAGAACTATGCCAAGCCAAAATCTACATAATTGGTACTACCAAAGGCAAGGTGGCGAGGCAGGACTCACTGAGGCAAGGGTCGGTAGCTGCCTCTGAGGATCTTCATCACGAGGTCCTCAAAACAGTTAGATTCAAATGGGTGTCTGAGGGCGCCGAGCTCGTACAACACGCAGCCCACCGCCCACATGTCAGATTTTTGGTTATACGGCTGCCTGGAAAAATGCAACTTTATTAATAGAATCAAAACTTTTCAGCGTGCGCACACATCCCATACGTACCATATTTAATATTAAAATTTCTAAAGTTACGAGAATGTATGCCATCATTGTGAGGGGGTGGGGGGGTGGGAAGAGGGGGGCCCAACGTGATACTAACTTCACTAATTCATTGTGTAAGGGTGACAACCAGCCAGTGTATGTAGGTGTTTAGGTTTATATCGAGGGCCCTATTCCTTCTCCCGCAAGGTAGAATTACCGACCCTCCCCAGGATGCAACCATAAAGCAAGCCAAGTTCTGGGTACCCATTTACTGCTAGGTGAACAGGTGCATTATGTGATGGGAAATGCGCCCAACCAGTTCCGTCCAGGCCGGGATCCGCACCCAGAATTCCAGATTGTGAATCGAGAACGAACCCGACTGTACCACCCGTGATCACCGGCCGATTATGATATTATACCGTTAGGTTTAGCGTTAAGAATGTGCCGCTACATCACGCCCATCAGTGAACGAGGAACGATTAGGTACAAAGCGTCCAAATATTGTAATTAATGAACAATTAGTGGTGTGGGATGGAAAAGTGATCGAGGTGGTCATATATATATACAATTTTTTTATAGAAATATGCTGCTATACATGAGAAAGATATTTAATGAGATTACGTTACTAATTCAGTGCACATATATTATGAACACAATATAAGTGGTGAATGTGGATCGCTACAAGAATTAAACTTTAAAATACCGAACAAAGTAATCAATAACTTGGGGGGGGGGGGGATTAGTCAACAGTATATACACGAATTTTTCAAAAAAATTTTTTTATACAACATTTCCATCAGTTACCAGGACACTGAACCGTGTTGGGCGACTTGTCCACGCCTAACTGCTGGTACAGGGCGTATGTCACCAAGAGCGGTTACAGTAACGAGACTTCCGCTCCCCGTGTTTACATTCAATGCAGAGTGACGTCATGTGCAAGGTGGTTATCTATCCTCCAAACATTTATCCTTCCTATAGTTAAAAAAAAATTAGCTTTTGGTATACAAAATAACTAAAAAACAACCCAAATAAGAAATCTTAGGCCAAATATAAGGCGTGAGGCCAAATTTAGTACTCGTGTACTATACTAGGCCAAAGAAAGGTGTACTGCACTAGCTGCTTTTTTGGGGCACAAGAGTTTCCTTTACATACAATATATAGTCGCTTTAAGTACTAACAATATCGAGGATAGGCTGGACAAGGCGAGGAATAACACGATATAAAGCTTGGCCATGACAGTACATACTGATATACCGTGTCATCAGTAGTCAATTATAACATGGGCAGTTACCAATAGTGGGAGGTTAGAGATCAGGGAAAGGGGGGAAGAGAAACATTTTGGGAAGAGGGAAAACTGAGAAAACGAAGCCTCACCGCTGGCATATCTCAGGAGAGAGATAGTAAGGTGTGCCCACGGCCGTCGTAGCCAGGTCTTGTCTGCCTCTCAGGAACCTCGCTATGCCGAAGTCCCCAACCTTCACCAAATTGCTCTTCGTCAGGAATATATTTTGCGTCTTTAAATCTGTAATGACCAGGAAAAATAATCACTATATAAAAATGTGTTATTAATGCAATTCAATTTCTTTATTATGTACCCCATACCCATCCCGTGGGCGGTGGTGTAAAGGATTACAGAGGCACATAATCGGTTCAGGAACTGAACCCTCTAGTTCGTTTAGCTAAGCAAATAAATCTTGACGCTAGTTACAAAATTATTAATGTTATATATACATGTACACATACTCATGCATACATGTACATACGTATACATATATACATACATTTAATCACCCACACAAACACACACATCAATAATCTCTTGTCACAAGTGATTCAACAAGAGGCTCAACAGTCACTATAAAAGGCACTTTACATCTATGATGAAGATAAAGCTGTTGGGTGGGTGTGGAGCAAGACTTGTAACTGTGCGACTTATTAATGCTATTGCCATTAAGATATTTGCATTTAAATTTTTTATCCGCGTTAAAACTAAGCCTAAGCCTTCAGCAGATGTAAGAGTGCAGTATTCGCATACAAGCGTAAACGTTAAACTTTGAATAAACTACAAGGTAGTTACAATAATTAAACTTTCAAGAATTTTAACAACGTATACAAAAATTAGTCAGAGATTTATAACCAATCAGGAGAAACTGGATAATCCAAAACACTGAAAACAAAATGCACGAGAATTTTATAAGATGCATTCTGAAGCTTTGGAGAGAAACTAAACAAAAAATATTCTTATAATAAACTTTGGATAAGGTAAGGCTCGGTTAGATATTCAGGAAATTATTTAAGTTTATAGATTAGGTGCGGTATCCTAAGCCAAAAACCGGTTTACTAATAATCATATCGGCTCACAATATTAATTTGACGTCCCAGTTTCAATTCACGGGTACGAGAATTTGGGTTGAGCTTTTTGAGCTGGGATTTTTTTTTTTTTTTTTTTTTTTTATAGTTTAATGACGTTGAAACGCCCCCGAGAACGGGCTGGGCTGAATGCTTCCCCTTCCAGTAACTCATAGTAAGCCTCACTCACTAATTTTCCCTGGAACACTACTCATTCTGAATACTACAAATAATTGAGGGGATTTAAGTATCTAATATTGCGAATGTGGGAATATTTTTTTGTATAACACTCACGCCTCTCAACGAGGATACGAGTCCTCAGGAAGCGAGTACAGTGTGTAGTAATCTGGTTTAACTGGCTCTTCAGACTGGTTAGCCGCACAGGGCCCCGCGAGGCTTGGCAAAGCACAACATTTTACACAGAAAATAGCCGAAATTTTCCACAGTAACCGCTGCAATTATAAAAGGTCATAACCAAAAATTGAAATCAAGTTTAGGAAATGATTAGTCAGATCGTTCAGATCTGTGACGCGTGCGCTCGTCTGCACTTTATTTACGCATGCAGACCTCGCTTTCAAAAGATGTCTACTTCAGAAAACGTTCAATGTAGAGACCATTATTCCAGAGATAGGTCAACTCTCATACCAGGACCGGTTGAGGGCTTCAGGACGCTACAAACTAGATGCGACAAATCAAGTAATTAAAAAAGCTAAGCATGTTGGAGCCTATTAATCCAGACCACTTCATTAAAACTAATGTAACACCGAGACAGCTGCTGGCTCCAGGCACAATTAGGATAGAAAACGAAATTATTTTTCCACTATCTAATATTAAATGAGTTTGCTCGAGATTCTATGACATGTTTGGGGCTGGCCTCGTTAAGCTTCGCAAGATTAATGGGGATTTTATCTGGAGTCATAGTTGGACTGGGGTTGTACTGGTGCCTCTCCCCCCCCCCCCCCCAACCCCTAGGGAGGAATGGCTCCATTGCCCCTCCTTCACTCTGGATGAAATTTTTGAGTCCATAGATTCGATAATTCTTAAAACATGATAGTTGCATTCTAAGGGCAACCATTTGGTTACAATGGTAGAGTATAAGGAAAAATGTTAGTGATGGAGGGGGGGAGGGAGATGGAGGCGAGAGGCACTGGGAGGATCAGGTCTTTTGCGCACTATACTTGTCAGTGTCCTGGTCTCATGTAATGCCTCCTGTGTCCCCTTTTAAGGGTATTGGGATTACGGTTCCCTTTTCCCCCTCAGAAGTCGTTGATTTCCAGTCTAATGATAATTCTAGATAGCGGGTGACTACCTTGAGAGCCTCCTTCAGCCACCATAATATCTAGTCTGGTTCTATTTTGTTACGTTTAATTCCTCCAAATGATTCAACCAGTTCTCACACTAGGCTATTTAAAGCAGCGGCCGTCCTCCCCAGATGCATTCATCAATTTTAACATACTGTATTAAAAATTGGTTTGTTCTCATAAATTATTATACATGCAAATTCGATGTATAGTTAGACGTAGCTTAGGTTCGGTTAGGTGTTTAGGTTTTGTTGGCGATTATTTGTATTAGAAGAATGTGGGTGAAGCATTTACAGAATTTTGGTTCGAACAAAGGACCTGAGGGAAGCACTTGTTTCGGAAGTGTTCGGACGTCATCAGTTCCAAATCGTGTGTAAACCGCTTTTCATTCATAAACAGGGGGTTAGGCGGCTGGATTAACGAGCTTGGATCTTTGTATGCGAGAACGGGTCGAATGATTATTTAACCTCTCTTACAATGATTAAGTGTTGTGAACCGATGACGTAGACCACTGATAGGTCTCAAGAACAGAGACCAACATGTACAGACACCACAAAGCGTCCGACAGTGACAAGTTGGACGGTTACACACAATAGAACAGATTAGGAGCCAGGACACGTTACCCAACCTTTAGTAAACGCCCAAACATTAACAAATGCAGACCAAATGTCACTAGAGGCTTGGCGCTTTGTAACCATTTCATTCATTCCCTGATGATACGACACTACCCGAAGATTACCGGTGCAGGCAAGATTCCTTCATATATATGCCACAGGCTGGTTTGAAAATGAAAGCCATTCGGTTAATTTAAATTTCATGTCAACTTGTGCTGTGGTTAAGTGAGGCGAAGTTAAGTGCGCGCGTCTGGGAGTGAGAGAGGACCCACCTCTGTGGAGGATGTTGTTGACGTGAAGGTACTGGACGGCGAAAATGACCTGCACGAACCAGTATAGAATTGAATGTTCGTCCAGCATCTCCCCCTTCCTCCTCGCCGCCTTCACACGCAGCGACAAGTCTCCTGAAGTACCAATGTGTCCTTCAGTTTGTGATTATAAACCAGTTTTCTGTTCATTAGTTCAAGCTAACTACATAAACAATTACTCTGTTGCAGGCGATGAGTCAACGTGACTGAAGTATGTTGACCAATCCACACACTAGAAAATGAAGGGACGACGACGTTTCGGTCCGTCCTGGACCATTCACAATCTACTTTAGAATGGTCCAGGACGGACCGAAACGTCGTTGTCCCTTTTCTAGTGTGTGGATTGGTCAACAATTACTCGGCTTATCACCGACATGTCTCACAGTGGCTGTGTTATTGAAAATGAATACTCTCCTCTTCTGTATATTTCACAATCATTCCTACGTGTTTAGTCAGCTTACTCCACAATGAAGCAAAACCCACTTGTCCAGCATGATGAGCAGCAGCAGCCTACGTCACACCAATAAACAAACCCAAGTTTCATGTATGCAACTTTCTCTGCTACTCTTACAAGGACACACTTCAGTGCTACTAATACCATCCCTCACCTCCGTCTGCGTACTCCATGACAAGACACATTGTGGCCGGGCCCTCCAGCATGAAGTATTCCTTATAGCGGATGATACTGGAGTGTTTACACCGGGCCAGGATGGCCACCTCTGTCCAGGTCTTCTCCAGTTCGTCTCTAGACATGTCCTCCACCCGTACCTCTTTCACAACATACCTGTATGGGGGAGTTACACTGCCAACTGTGAAGTATTAAGGAGAGAGTGGTGGAAGACAGCTATCGTCTCCACACGACTTGTACAATACACAACTGACGCCGTTACCCTCAATACATACAAACGTTTGGCCACCACTCAAGACCCACCTCCTACCGGAACATTTACTGGTGACCAGCCAGGCCTCGCCGAATGTTCCTCGTCCGATCCTCGACACCTTCCTGAACCTGGCAGCCATCACTGCTGCGCCCTGAAGGTCTTACACAAGGACTTTATTAGCTCGTGACAGTCGGATTTCAATGCTACAAATTAAAATTTAATAAAAAGTACAGAGCTCTAATTTTGATCATTCAATTCATAAAGTTTTAAAAGATGTTCTCCATATATTATTGTACTTTTAGCCAATATTGGTCTAACGTACAAAAATGCACACAAAGACCACATTTTGAATTTATTTTTGTAGAGTAAAAGGCAACCAAATCTAAATTTTCCTAAGTCTATTGTAGCATAAACGCACTAAACAGGGCCCAAGATGATTAGTTTCATGATTGCTTATTTTGGCCTAGGACAGGCGAGGTCATGTAATTACTGTTCCACTTTAAATACAAATATTTTTTTTTGGCATAACATTTTTTGTTTACGTCCGACTAATAGTTTTTATAAATACTATTAAGAATTTCACCCATCCTCCAAAAATTAATATAAATACTTTCACAAACGTGGGCCCTCGTTTCCTGCCGATTGTCCGCGAGATGTAATCAATTCCTATCACAGAGTCCGTCCATAGCACACTGCTCACGGGCTCACAGAGTCCGTCCATAGCACACTGCTCACGGGCTCACAGAGTCCGTCCATAGCACACTGCTCACGGGCTCACAGAGTCCGTCCATAGCACACTGCTCACGGGCTCACAGAGTCCGTCCATAGCACACTGCTCACGGGCTCACAGAGTCCGTCCATAGCACACTGCTCACGGGCTCACAGAGTCCGTCCATAGCACACTGCTCACGGGCTCACAGAGTCCGTCCATAGCACACTGCTCACGGGCTCACAGAGTCCGTCCATAGCACACTGCTCACGGGCTCACAGAGTCCGTCCATAGCACACTGCTCACGGGCTCACAGAGTCCGTCCATAGCACACTGCTCACGGGCTCACAGAGTCCGTCCATAGCACACTGCTCACGGGCTCACAGAGTCCGTCCATAGCACACTGCTCACGGGCTCACAGAGTCCGTCCATAGCACACTGCTCACGGGCTCACAGAGTCCGTCCATAGCACACTGCTCACGGGCTCACAGAGTCCGTCCATAGCACACTGCTCACGGGCTCACAGAGTCCGTCCATAGCACACTGCTCACGGGCTCACAGAGTCCGTCCATAGCACACTGCTCACGGGCTCACAGAGTCCGTCCATAGCACACTGCTCACGGGCTCACAGAGTCCGTCCATAGCACACTGCTCACGGGCTCACAGAGTCCGTCCATAGCACACTGCTCACGGGCTCACAGAGTCCGTCCATAGCACACTGCTCACGGGCTCACAGAGTCCGTCCATAGCACACTGCTCACGGGCTCACAGAGTCCGTCCATAGCACACTGCTCACGGGCTCACAGAGTCCGTCCATAGCACACTGCTCACGGGCTCACAGAGTCCGTCCATAGCACACTGCTCACGGGCTCACAGAGTCCGTCCATAGCACACTGCTCACGGGCTCACAGAGTCCGTCCATAGCACACTGCTCACGGGCTCACAGAGTCCGTCCATAGCACACTGCTCACGGGCTCACAGAGTCCGTCCATAGCACACTGCTCACGGGCTCACAAAAAGGATATACCCACACCAGTTGCACTTCAGTAGGCATGTTCCAAGATCATTTCGTCGACTAAACCGGTCCTGGAACACACTTAAGAGTAACCACGGAACCAGCAGGGTTTAGGGAATGGTTCCCAGGGGTGGTTCCCAGGGGTGGTTCCCAGGGGTGGTTCCCAGGGGTGGTACCCAACTACTGGAACAGAAGCGCCCATGTCAATAACATGTCGCTGGATCCTAGCCTCGTACTACAGATGCAAATGACATTTAGAATTAGCACTTTTCTCCCGGTTTTTCTGTATCTAGTGAAGGTTAGCGTCTTCTACTGGTTAAAGCCTAGCTCTACCTCAGTAACTATCCCCGTCTTTGTTTTCTCCAATATTTTGTTTCATATACTAATTACTACAGTCTGATTCTATTGTCAACATAAACGAATAGATTCACCTGAGAATCCAGATTGGCTGATATTATATACTTGGCCTCCGGTTACTAGGGTTTCCAGGACAGATGTCTCCTATGCGTCCACCAGCATGAGAAAACACAGACTGAGGTCGCCAACGCGGCAACACTGCCCTGAATTTGAGAATGAACTCGCCGGGGTCGCTGACAATGGAACCCATTTGTGAGCCCTGAGTGAATCCCTCGTACAGAAAAAGCAGTTTAGGTCAGTAATCCAGCCCATTATAAAACAAAGTGCCGTCGAATTCACAATATATTAGTCCAATATTGATATATTAAAGTCAAAGTGAGTCAGTATTTGATTTACAGTTCACTTAAATATATTCGAAGCCGTAATTCGAGATGTGTATCAGTCACCTCCAGCTCTATACCGTCCCATTATCAAAATAAGCTTTCTATATTTCTATTCATAAAGAATTGTCTATATCCTATGCATTAAAACACAACGACAAATATTTAAAAAATAAGCAGTCTTCATTATAAACACGAGAGATACGCAAGTTATCTTCAGCAAAACATCAAAATGCTCAGATCCAACACCATTAGATACTTAGCGTGAGCGTGTGCAACTTCTGGGAATAGAGCACGGAGGATTGGAACCTACGATCATTCATAACGCCAAGGATTGAAAATTCGATTGTGATACAAAGAGTCACATAGGGAATACAAATAAATCTCTGACATGATTAACTATACATAACAAGAAATAAATGCTGGGATATATATATATATATATATATATATATATATATATATATATATATATATATATATATATATATATATATATATATATATATATATATGTGTATGTATGTATATATATATGTATATTTTTTTGTGTTTAATTAACAAACTTAGGTAGACACAGCAATGTGCTGCTATCCTATTCTATATGAAAGATTACACAGTGTAGATCAAAAACTAGCTATAAGTTCATCCAATATTCTCATCTCACAGGATGGTTAGTCATACATGGAATCAGGGGAGAAAATACCAGCCTCAATACTGCCCGAAACGCTGCGCGTACTAGTGGCTTTACAAGACTGTAATTACCATTTTATGTATCCTCACATTCCCAATGTACCTTCTTGTATATGCATAAATAAATAAATAAATAAATAAATAAATAAATAAATACAAAAACAAATCAACCCTGAATAAAAATCAGGTTAGAACATTAAGTGTAAGGGCCCCCCCACTAGCAAAATCTGGGTAAGCATAAGAATATCTTCCAATATTCCTGAGTGCATGAAGTAATTACGGAGATTAAAGTACCTCATACCATTTGGTCTGAAGTCACTTATAACAGGACAATCACAGATATATTATAATAGTTGACCTTATTGGTTTTCTTTGTTGACTCAACATCATTTTCTATGATTTCACAGAGATCTTAGAAGGTGTGGTAAACTAAAGTGTTTTAACACACACACACACACACAAACACACACGGGCCGGTGGCTGAGTGGACAGCACACTGCACACGTAATACTGTGGTCCAGGGTTCGATTCCCGTGCGGGCGAGAAACAATGAGCAGAGTTTCTTTTACCCTGATGCCCCTGTTACCTTGCAGTAAATAGATACCTGGGAGTTAGAAAGCTGTTACGGTCTGCTTCTTGGGTGAGTGTGTGTGTGTGTGTGGGGAAAAAAATTGTTAGTAACAACTGGTTGACTGACAGTTGAGAGGCGGGCCGAAAGAGCAGAGCTCAACCCCCGCAAGCACAACTAGGTGAATACAACTAGGTGAATGCATACATATATACATACACTCACACACACACTTTTCTGGAGGCTATTCTGGAAATTGGAACATGCTGAAGGAGTGACAGGCAGACTTCCGACATGGATGATTTTTTTTTAAATTGACAGACAGATGAGGGCGGTAATCAGAGACAAGGTATCTGACTGGAGGAGTGTCACTAGCGGAGTACCACAGGGTTCAGTTCTTGCACCAGTAATTTCATCTTCTACTAAACCATCTACCAGAAGGAATACAGAATTATATGAACATGTTTGCGGATGCTGCTAAGACACTGGGGAAGACAGGAGACGCAGATGATTGTAATGCCCTTCACATTGATCTAGATAAAACAAGTGCTTGGAGCGTCAAGTGGCAAATGGAATTCAATGTGGATAAATGCCATGTTATGGAATGTGGAATCGGAGAAAATAGACTACACACACCTTACAAATTATGTGGAAAGGAATTACAGAAGTCTAATAAAGAAGGAGACTTGGGGGGTGGTTTAGGATAGTAAACTGTCGCCAGAGGAACACATAAAGAACATTGTGAGACGAGCGTATGCGTCGCTTTCCAACTTCAGACTTGATTTTAATTATATGGATGGTGAAATACTAAAGAAACTGTCCATGATTTTTGTGAGGCCAAAATTGGAACATGCAGCAGTTGTATGGTGCCCAAATCTCAAGAAGCACTTACACTGGAAAAGGTGCAGCGGCATGCGACAAAATGGTTTCCGGAACTGGAAAACAAGAGTTACGAGGAGAGACTACAGATATTAAACATTCCTAAACTAGAAGATAGAAGAAAAAGGGGTGATATAATCACCACATACAAAATTCTAACAGGAATCTACCAAATTGACCATAAGGAATTCCTGAAACCATCAACTTCACGAACAAGAGGACACGGTTTAGAGCTAATGAAACAGAGGTGCCGAAAAACATTAGAAAGTTTTCTTTTGCAAACAGAGTGGTAGACGGTTGGAACAAGCTAAGTGAGAAGGTGGTGGAGGCCACAACCGTCAGTAGTTTCAAAGCGTTATACGACAAAGAGTACTGGGAAGACGGGACACTACAAGTTTAGCTCTCATTCTGTAACTACACTTAGGTAATTTAAGTTCTACCTCTTCGCCCTTACTAGTAAGAACGAAAAGGTAGAACAGCTTATTGATAGAGCTCGGGTGCATGGGGGAACTATGTAAAATCCTGGTTTGTGTCTCGGAGAGGCTGCAGGATAAAAGTAAGGTCAGTAGAACTTCCGGTTGCAATTCTTTTAACCATGTCGTAGCTCAGTCGATTAAGGTAGCGTCTGGGATCCCCTCGGACGTAGGTTCGAACCCTCGTCACGGCCCTTGTGGATTTATTCATTTGTCATCTATCTCCGCGTGTGAAGCTGTCATCTGTTTCCAACACCGCCTGGTACTGAAAGCACGCTGTGTTTATCTCTCTTAACTATCAGTTCTCCCTCCCTCCCTCCCTCCCTCCCTCCCTCCCTAACCGCCTCTCCCACCCAACTGGGAAGCCAAGCAGCTGTCAGAGAGGAATGAAGTGGTTTCCCACACCCACGCCAGAGCACTGAAACTACACACACCTGACTTGAGGTAGAGTGTAGTACCCGTGTGTGTGTGTGGAGCTCGGGTATTGAACCTCGCTTATTTGGGCCTGTTCCCACGTCTGTGGCAGTGGTCATGTGGACGACAAACAGTGTTGTGGTGTTGCTGCTTCTCCTCTTCTCTCTCTGCGGTAGGTGTTGAGCAGGTGTTTAACTGAGGTAGCAGGTGTTAAGAGGTGCTACAGTCAGGCGTTGCAGCTGTTGTGTTATATTCGTGTAAAATCAGTCGGATGTGTCTAAAAGTTTATTTAAACAAAGTATAATTAGAGTGAATAATTTGATAGTAATACCGACAGAGACAAACAAATTAAATGTATTAAAAATGTAAAAAATCAGTTATTAAACATTCATTACAACAACAATAGCATTATCATCACCACTACCAACAATAAACGCAGCCACACACACACACACACACACACACACACACACACACACACAGTATGTATGTGGAGTTTGCGGCCCCAGCATGGAGCCCGTACCTTGTCAAGCACAAGGCGAAGCTTGAAAAAGTTCAGAGGTATGCCACTACGCTAGTCCCAGAACTAAGAGGCATGAGTTACGAGGAAAGGCTGCGGGAAATGCACCTCATGACACTGGAAGACAGAAGAGTAAGGGGAAACATGATCACTTCCTACAAAATTCTCAGAGGAATTGACAGGGTAGATAAAGATAAACTATTTAACACGGGTGGTACGCGAACAAGGGGACATAGGTGAAAACTAAGTACCCAAATGAGCCACAGGGACGTTAGAAAGAACTTTTCAGTGTCAGAGTAGTTAACAGGTGGAATGCATTAGGCAGTGATGTGGTGGAGGCTGACTCCATACACAGTTTCAAGTGTAGATATGATAGAGCCCAGTAGGCTCAGGAATCTGTACACCTGTTGATTGACAGTTGAGAGGCGGGACCAAAGAGCCAGAGCTCAACCCCCGCAAGCACAATTAGGTGAGTATACACACACACACCCTCCAAAACACACCAGGACTTACAATGCAATCATCACCACACCAACAATCATCACCACACCAACAATCATCACCACACCAACAATCATCACCACACCAACAATCATCACCACACCAACAATCATCACCACACCAACAACCATCACCACACCAACAACCATCACCACACCAACAATCATCACCACACCAACAATCATCACCACACCAACAACCATCACCACACCAACAACCATCACCACACCAACAATCATCACCACACCAACAATCATCACCACACCAACAATCATCACCACACCAACAATCATCACCACACCAACAATCATCACCACACCAACAATCATCACCACACCAACAATCATCACCACACCAACAATCATCACCACACCAACAATCATCACCACACCAACAATCATCACCACACCAACAACCATCACCACACCAACAATCATCACCACACAACAATCATCACCACACCAACAATCATCACCACACCAACAACCATCACCACACCAACAATCATCACCACACCAACAATCATCACCACACCAACAATCATCACCACACCAACAAACATCACCACACCAACAAACATCACCACACCAACAAACATCACCACACCAACAAACATCACCACACCAACAAACATCACCACACCAACAAACATCACCACACCAACAAACATCACCACACCAACAAACATCACCAACCAACAAACACCACCACACCAACAAACATCACCACACCAACAAACATCACCACACCAACAACCATCACCACACCAACAATCATCACCACACCAACAATCATCACCACACCAACAATCATCACCACACCAACAATCATCACCACACCAACAATCATCACCACACCAACAATCATCACCACACCAACAACCATCACCACACCAACAATCATCACCACACCAACAATCATCACCACACCAACAACCATCACCACACCAACAATCATCACCACACCAACAATCATCACCACACCAACAATCATCACCACACCAACAATCATCACCACACCAACAATCATATCTGACGACTCAAATTCCCAAACCATACACCAGTACCTTCCATTCCCTCCCCCCCCCGCACCGGCCTGCATCCCTCCCAGACGGAATTAGTCCTCTGGTACACCCCATCGCCAGTTTTCTATAATATAAGACCCCATCCAATCAATTTCGAGCCCACCTACGGCGCCTATAACCCCGCTGCAGTTCGGGGCTGATACAACGTACGCAAACATTACCTCTAATTTCACCTCGGCCATTTCGATTAATGTAGAGAGAGGTGTAAAGGGTGTACCGTCACATACTGGCAATATCCGCAGGGTTTCTGTCCCTGTGAATTAGAAGCGAGGGCTGCCAGCAGTAATGGTAATATCTTGAAGCACTCATCGTGGCCAGCACGGGTGCTTCGGCTGTGTGTGTTATGGGGGCTGCTTCTCTCTTACCAGCCTCTGTTAGTTAGGCTGGGGATAGAGCAATGTTGTAAATGGTCATTTACAAGCTGCTGGTTGTAAATATTCGTGCTCTTACCTGCAGTTTATTTTCATTTGCATTGTTAGTATTGTTAATGTTATTGTTATTGTTATTATTACTAGCAGTACCCGGCCACGCGTTGCTGTGGCTCAGCAACCTTCCCTGTCTCCCAGTCCTCCCCACCATTTCCCCTCTTCACCCGTCCCCTCGTCCTCCCCACCATTCCCCACTTTAACATCCCCTCGTCCCACACCATCCCAAACTCCCCCGTCTCTTTGTCCTTCCCCACCATTACCCCCTCCCTTGTCCCCTCGTCATCCCCACCATTCCCCACTCCCTCGTCCGATGCCTTCCCAAATGGTCTGATGTTCCCATCAGAAAATTGGGAACATGAAGTGATCTGATGTTCCCATCACTGAAATATAAGAAAAACAGTTAAAAAATGAAATGAAAATATGAAAAAATAACAAAATAAATTATACTCATGAAATGAACGGTATGGCAAACAACACAGCTCAATTCCAACGCAATTCACACAAAATAATTAAATAAAAATGAAAATAAATAAAAATCTATGAAAATTCAATTTATCAATGCAATCAGACACATTGAAATGGATTTGTAACATATTTAGTATAGCATGTGTGTTGCTCTTACATGCAATAGATGGCGCTGTTTTTCAAGAAAATCATGTTTTACCTGTCACAGGTGTGGCATCTATACTTATACTTACGAAATGAACGGTATGGTAAACAACACTGCTCAGTTTCAACACAATGTCACTCAAAATAACTCAATAAAAAATTAAAATAAATCGAAATCTACGAAAATAAAATTTATCAATGCAATCGGAAACATTGAAATGGAATTCGTGATATATTCAGTATAGCGTGCATGTTGCTCTTACGTAAAATAGATGGCGCTGTTTTAAAAAAAAAACGCATGTTTTTACCTGTCACAGGGGTAGCATCTATATAGTACGCATATAAAAACACGCGCCTATTCGAATGCAACGTTGTGTCAAAATTTCAAAGCAATCGGTAAAAAGATTTCGAAGATTTCCCTCACATGAAAAACACATAGAACATGTTTTTTTTTTTTACCGTCACAGACGTGACAGCTATATAATATGTATATAAAAACCCGCTCGGATGCGAATGGAACATTGTGTGAAAATTACTAAGCAAACGGTGAAGAACTTTCGGAGATTAGCGGTTATGCACAAACGAACTTTTCCATTTTTATTTATATAGAAGATTATTATTATTATTATTATTATTATTATTATTATTATTATTATTATTATTATTATTATTATTATTTGTTGTTTTTGTTGGATTTACTAAAACATTTGATGGTGGTTATGTTATTTCTTTGGAAGTGTGTATTCACCTAGTTGTGTTTGCGGGGGTTGAGCTTTGCTCTCTCGGCCCGCCTCTCAACTGTCAATCAACTGTTTACTAACTACTTTTTTTTCCACACCACACACACACACACCCCGGGAAGCAGCTCGTGACAGCTGACTAACTCCCAGGTACCTATTTACTGCTAGGTAACAGGGGCATTCAGGGTGAAAGAAACTTTGTCCATTTGTTTCTGCCTGTTGCGGGAATCGAACCCGCGCCACAAAATTACGAGCCCTGCGCGCTATCCACTAGGCTACCAGGCCCCCTGGGAGAGAGTGTGTGTGTGTGTGTGTTGTGTCCGTTACTTCAAATTATTATATTCATTCTCATTCACAAGCATATTTCTCCACATGTGGCTATGCAGGTATTTGAGTTAGTGGTCAGGTGTGTATGCTGTGTTACCCAAACACCGTTTCTCTGCTTCAAATTAGCATACATACCTTTATACTTAGTTGCAATTCTTTTTACCATGTCGTAGCTCAGTCGATTAAGGCAGCGTCTGGGATCCTCTTGAACGTAGGTTCGAACCCTCGTCACGGCCCTTGTAGATTTGTTCATTAGTATACCATACCTGTTTCTTTCCTTATGTGTTCTACGTCTCCTCCTCCTGCTGTGTTCTCTCTCCCGTGCTTCCAAGTTCTCCCCTTGGTTTGTTCCTTGACCTCCTCGAGCGGGAATGATGGCTCTGCCTGCATCAAGTAGACACGAGTTCGATTTCTCATTGTATTCCCTAGAGTTTCTCTCGTTTTTCTTTAGTAACGTTTTCGTTTCTCTCGTTTTCTTTAGTAACGTTTTCGTTTCTCTCGTTTTCTTTAGTAACGTTTTCGTTTCTCTCGTTTTCTTTAGTAACGTTTTCGTTTCTCTCGTTTTCTTTAGTAACGTTTTCGTTTCTCTCGTTTTCTTTAGTAACGTTTTCGTTTCTCTCGTTTTCTTTAGTAACGTTTTCGTTTCTCTCGTTTTTTTTTTTTTTTTTAGATATATACAAGAGTTGTTACATTCTTGTACAGCCACTAGTACGCGTAGCGTTTCGGGCAGGTCCCTGGAATACGATCCCCGCCGCGAAGAATCGTTGTTACAACCAAGTACACATTTTACTGTTGAGTTAAACAGAGGCTACAGTTAAGGATTTGCGTCCGGTAAATCCTCCCCGGCCAGGATACGAACCCATGACAAAGCGCTCGCGGAACGCCAGGCGAGTGTCTTACCACTACACCACGGAGACTTTTCTTTAGTCTGTAGTATTGCCAGAGCCCTTCATCGATAAGATATCGAGGCTGTACGATGGAGGTCGAACCCAGATCTCGGAGGTGCTTGGGCACACGCACCCTCCCCCCCCCCACGGGGCCGGTTATGGGGCTAAAGGTCCCTCCGCCACAATTGGTAGTCATCTAGGGGCCTGACTCACGATGCAGTTACGCAAGCATTTACGAACTTGTACATCTCTTTTCAATCTTTGGCAGCTTTGTTTACATTTATTAAACAGTTAATGAGCTCCGAAGCACGAGGAGGCTATTTATAACAATATCAACAGTTGACTGGCAAGTTTTCATACTTGTAAACTGTTTAATAAATGTAACCAAAGCCGTCAAAGATTGAGGAAAGATGTACACGTTCGTAAGTACTTGCGTAACTGCTTCGTAAATCTTGCCCTAGCTCTCGCCGCCCCCCCTCTGTCAATGCACATGTAGAAATATCACGTAATTGTGCTTTCGTCGTGTATTTCTTCATCCACTCTCTCTCTATACCCTTCTCTCTCTCTCTCTCTCTCTCTCTCTCTCTCTCTCTCTCTCTCTCTCTCTCTCTCTCTCTCTCTCTCTCTCTCTCTCTCTCTCTCTCTCCATCGTCGCCACGTACTGAGACCAGCACACAGGGAGGTGAGGCGGGGTGCGTGTACAGTGGGTCTTGTGCAACACAATGTGTTGTCTTCATGTTGTGTCTCGGTGGCAGGGCATCACCTCTTTACATCTCGCTGACACGAGGTGTGTCAAGAACGTTACAGTCTATTGCCTCTAGTAACTTTGGCCTCCATGTCTCCACTCCCATTCCCCTCAATTCTTTCCGTTGATTCTGCAGTGGTTGAAGAGTGTCCCTACGACTATCAACTTTGCTCGCAGATGGTAGACTTTTATGTGGCCTCTTTATATGTGTATATACGGAGTATGTGTATGCATACGAATATACATATATGCATGTGCTAACATGCTTCTGTATGGGAATACAAATGATATAAAATGTAAGAAATACTGGAGAAATGATCATAATGATAAGATGCCGATTTCTACATTCGTAAGTATCTTGTCTTGTTCGTGTTACAGGAGATGGAGCGAGAGCGGAGGAGAGCCTTCCCTGCATCCCCAGGGACTTCGGCCACAGCTCCTTCGTGTGCGTGTGCAACGCCTCCTACTGCGACACCTTACCCCCGCCCGAAGCGCCTCCCGAGGGAGCGTTCCTCCTCTACAGCTCCGATATGACCGGTGACAGATTCCTGAAGAGCCAAGACTTCTTCAGCAGTGTTGGGGATGGTGAGGTCGTGTAGGTGTTGGGGGTGTAGGTGTTGGGGGTGTAGGTGTTGGGGGTGTAGGTGTTGGTGGTGTAGGTGTTGGGGGTGTAGGTGAACATTGATGAGAGGAAATACATGAATTTTCAGTCCTATCCAAAACTTGCTGCCCCTTGTGTCGACCTCATGCTCCACCTCCTACAGACGTGTCGGCGGAGACGGTGGAGTTGGTGGTGGACCCGACGGTGACCTACCAGACTGTTGTGGGGTGGGGCGGCGCCTTCACCGACGCAGCAGCTGCCAACATTCTCAGCCTCTCTCAGCCCGCACAGGACCTCCTCCTCGGGTACTGCCACATTATTTTATTCTCACTTTATTGAACTCTTCGGTTGGTTCAATGACGCAGCCTTCAGATATATGTGCAGCATCAGTGGAGGAGCTCATCTCCCAGTGTTGTCACGATGCTGTAATGCTTAGAGAAGTGCTCCAGCTGTGTAAGTTGGTGGCGCCACCTGTGAGGCAGGTGGCGTGTGTACTCTGTACGGTAACATGGGTGTTTTGGTAAGGTAATCTCCACTTATTACTTCGTTTTCCCTCCCATGCCTCTCCCTCAACTCTCCTACTCTTCTCTTCCATCCTCTCTCTCACACACTTCTTCATCTTCTCTTCTCTGCCATGTTACTTTTCTTCCACCCCTGATAGTCTTACCAAATAAACAGGAACTAAAACAAAATATTCTTGTTTTTCTGTATTTTCCAGCCTCGATGTTCTCTCTTTCCTCACCTCTCACTACCTTCTCCCATCTCTTACTCTCTCTCTCCTCACCCCTCCCATTCCTCACCTCTCACAGACTACAGCATCAGGCGACTAACATCTGTCTCGCTATCTCCCTCTACCTCCTCAGATCGTACTTCTCGTCCTCTGGGATCGAGTACAACATCGGTCGAGTCAACATGGGTGGCTGCGACTTCTCCTGGAGGGAGTACACCTATGTCGACACCGAGGGCGACGTCGACCTCAACACCTTCGCCCTCCAGCCAGAGGACACAGAGTACAAGGTGCTTATGAGGCCGTGTTTACCTCCCGCTCGAACGGTTACAAGGGTTTCCAGGCGTCAGGTTTTGTGTCTGTCTAGTGACGGATAATTTACGTGTTCATAAAGTTAACGTGTTGATTTTTGCACAATGAACTCACACGCACGTAGTGGACTCCCCAGTCCAGCGACGCGGGTTCGATCGCATTGCAGTGCCTGAATATTGTCGCATATTTATATCGACTCATTCTCAATCGACTTGAGAATGGTCCAGGACGGACCGAAACGTCGTCGTCCCTTCACTTTCTAGTGTGTGGTCTGGTCAACCTCATTTATATGTTAGTTCAGTCGTGTCTGCGACGTTGGGCAAGGGGAAGATAACCTGTATGGCGCCCAAGATAGCCCAGCCCCTGTCCCTCGAGGGACGGGGGCTGGGTTTCAAACCGGAGTGTCTTAGCAGCCGGAAGAGCTCAGCAAAGCAGGACCCGACACTCTCCTTCCGGATCTTGTCTTGTGACGTGTTCCATCTCCTTCACAGATTCCTGTGATCAAGCGGGCCGAGGCTCTGGCCGGACACCCCCTGACGCTCTTCGCCTCGCCCTGGACGGCGCCGCCCTGGATGAAGACCAACGACGACTACGTAGGCTACGGGTACCTCCAGAAGGAGATGTATCAGCCCTGGGCCAACTACTTCGTCAAGTGGGTCTTCCGGGGTGGAAAGGTTTCCGCCTCTTAACCTCTTGCCTACTCTTTCTTATTTTTTTTTTAGGTTTCTCTCGCCTCGTTCAAGCGAATTCATTACGCATTCAGGAACGATCCATAAAGTACGCCGACAGGTTTGACCTGAGAGTATACAGCACCTGAGAGTATACAGTATACAGCACCCGTGAGTATACAGTATACAGCCGTGCCAGGAATGTGTCACGTAACTGTCAGGCAAGTGTATATATGACTAACCTCTGCATCCATGTGTCTCTAGGAAATCACAAATAGAATAGCCAGCAGCAGCAGCAGCCAGCACACACACACACACACACACACACACACACACACACACACACACACACACACACACACACACACACACACACACACACACCAAAGTATTGGACCAGACAAAGTATCACCGTGGATACTTAAAGAGGCAGCGCAGGCTCTCAGCGTGCCTCTGGCAATGATCTTTAATGAGTCACTTATGTCGGGAGAATTGCCCAGTTGCTGGAAGGAGGCAAATGTCGTACCGATTTTCAAAAAGGGTGATAGGGAGGAGGCACTTAACTACAGACCCGTATCACTGACAAGCATCCCCTGCAAAATACTTGAAAGAATAATTAGGCTAAGACTTGTTGAGCACCTGGACAGCATTGGGTTTGTAAACAAGCACCAACATGGGTTCTGGACAGGGAAATCATGCCTAACAAACCTTTTAGAATTCTATGATAAAGTAACAAAGATAAGGCAGGACAGAGAAGGCTGGGCAGACTGCATATTTCTTGACTGCCAAAAGGCCTTTGATACGGTACCGCACATGAGACTGCTATACAAACTTGAGAGGCAGGCAGGAGTAAGCGGAAAGGCCCTAGTATGGGTGAAGAACTACCTAACAGGAAGGAGCCAGAGGGTAATGGTAAGGGGCGAAAAGTCGGACTGGCGAACAGTAACAAGTGGAGTACCTCAAGGATCGGTGCTGGGACCAATCCTCTTTCTAATTTACGTAAATGATATGTTTACAGGAGTGGAATCATACATGTCAATGTTTGCAGATGACGCAAAATTAATGAGAAGAGTTGTGACAGACGAGGATTGTAGGATCCTCCAAGAGGACTTAAACAGGCTGCAGAGATGGTCAGGGAAATGGCTACTGGAGTTTAACACCAGTAAATGTAAAGTTATGGAAATGGGATCAGGTGACAGGAGACCAAAGGGACAGTACACAATGAAGGGGAACAGCCTACCTGTAACGATTCGAGAAAGAGACCTGGGAGTGGATGTGACACCTAATCTAACTCCTGAGGCACATATAAATAGGATAACGACAGCAGCGTACTCTACACTGGCGAAAATTAGAACTTCATTCAGAAACCTAAATGAGGAAGCTTTTAGGGCGCTTTACACTGCCTACGTGAGACCCGTCTTAGAGTATGCCGCGCCATCATGGAGCCCCCACCTGAAGAAACACATAAAGAAACTGGAGAAGGTTCAGAGGTTTGCGACGAGGCTTGTCCCAGAGCTACGAGGGATGGGATATGAAGAGCGGCTGAAGGAACTGAACCTTACGACACTAGAGAAAAGAAGGGAGAGAGGAGATATGATAGGGACATATAAAATACTCAGGGGAATTGACAAAGTGGAAATAGATGAAATGTTCACACGTAATAATAACAGAACGAGGGGACATGGGTGGAAACTGGAAACTCAGATGAGTCACAGAGATGTTAGGAAGTTTTCTTTTAGCGTGAGAGTAGTAGAAAAATGGAATGCACTTGGGGAACACGTTGTGGAAGCAAATACTATTCATACTTTTAAAACTAGGTATGATAGGGAAATGGGACAGGAGTCATTGCTGTAAACAACCGATAGCTAGAAAGGCGGGATCCAAGAGTCAATGCTCGATCCTGCAAGCACATATAGGTGAGTACATATAGGTGAGTACACACACAGTGGAGGGGGCCTGGTAGCCTGGTGGATAGCGCGCAGGGCTTGTAATTCTGTGGCGCGGGTTCGATTCTCGCACCAGGCAGAAATAAATAGGCAAAGTTTCTTTCACCCTGAATGCCCCTGTTACCTAATAGTAAATAGGTACCTGGGAGTTAGTAAGCTGTCAAGGGCTGCTTCCTGGGGTGTGTGTGTGTGGTGTGGGGAAAAAAGTAGTTAGTAAACAGTTGACTGACAGTTGAGAGGCGGGCCGAGAGAGCAAAGCTCAACCCCCGCAAACACAACTAGGTGAATACACACACACACTCGAAGAAGAAAACAAAGAGCATTCAGAGAAGATCTTGTGGTATCTCTCTCTTTCCCATTTCTCTGTGGATTTTCTGCATATAATATATATATATATATATATATATATATATATATATATATATATATATATATATATATATATATATATATATATATATATATATAAGGTCCCAACAACTTGGGGTGAACGGTAGAGCGAGGGTCTTGCTTCATGCAGGTCGGCGTTCAATTCCCGACCATCCCCAAGTGGTTAGGCACCATTCCTTTTCCCCCGTCCCATCCCAAGTCCCTATCCTGATCCCTTCCAAGTGCTAAATAGTCGAAATGGCTTAGCGCTTTCCCGCTGATACTTCCCTGCTCTTTATATTGTTTCTATAAAGATTTAGAAGGTTTCTAGTAGGGTTCAAGATAGAAAACCTACCATAGACAGGTCTCTGTGTCTGTCTCAAGGTTCCTGGACGGGTACGCAGCGGAGGGCGTCACGTTCTGGGGCGTGACGGCGCAGAACGAGCCCAGAGACGGCCAGGTCCCGGGCTTCGCCTTCAACTGCATGGGGTGGACGCCCCTGCAGCAGCGGGCGTGGGTGGGCGGCAACCTCGGCCCCACGCTCGACGCCCACGGCTACGGCGCCCTTAAGGTCATGATCCTCGACGATCAGCGCTATAACCTGCCGCTATGGGCGGAGAAGGTGGGTTGACAGGGGAGTTAAGGGAACTATCAGGATTGAGTCATTTCCTAAACGTTACACACAGAAATCACAATTGCGTGATGCATCAAATGAACAAATCCACAAGGGTCGTGACGAGGATTCGAACCTGCGTCCGAGAGCATCCCAGACGCTGCCTTAATCGACTGAGCTACGACATGGTCAATCCTCGTCACGGCCCTTGTGGATTTGTTCATTTCCTAAACGTATTTCCCGCTTTTTCGGAATTTATACATTTCCTAATGCTGGGGTAGAATCATGAATGCAAATCGTTCCAGGACACTCCACTTGCAACGTCACTCACTCCAACGACCACTCACTCCAACGACCACTCACTCCAACGACCACTCACTCCAACGACCACTCACTCCAACGACCACTCACTCCAACGACCACGCCTTCCAAGTTAATCCTTGTGTAACAGCCCAGACGGAACCATCAGGAGAAAGCGCTATACGACTATATAACACTTGGAAGGGGTCATCAGGATAAGGATTTGGGATGGGACGGGGGGAAGGAATGGTACCCAACGACTTGGACGGTCGGGGATTGAACGCCGACCTGCACTAAGCGAGACCGTCGCTCTACCGTCCAGTCCAAGTGGTTGAGTGAAGTGGTAGTGATCACTCCGGATGGTCTTGAAGTGGTAGTGATCACTCCGGATGGTCTTGAAGTGGTAGTGATCACTCCGGATGGTCTTGAAGTGGTAGTGATCACTCCGGATGGTCTTGACCAATCAAGTCTTCAGTACCGTCTTGCCTCGTGTTGCAGAGCGCCGCGTCTCGAGGAGATCTCAGCCTCCGCATCTTGACCAGCGCAGATGAGCGGCAAATGACTTAAAAAGTTGCAGGATAAAATTCATAAGTTTCTTTGAACTTGGGCAATGTTTTTTTATGAGGTGGCCGTCGGGTCTCCATGTATAATTATGGCGACTTAAATTGTTGGGTGGCGGGGACGGAAGTGGAAGAGAGGAGGTTATCTTGAGGTTATCTTGAGATGATTTCGGGGCTTTAGTGTCCCCGCGGCCCGATCCTCGACCAGGCCTCCACCCCCCCCCTTAAGAGGATGATTAAGTTAAAGAATTAAAGTATACTCACCTACTTGTACTCGTCAGATTGTGATTACGGGGGTTGAGTTTCGGCTCTTTGGTCCCGCCTCTTAACCGTCAATCAACTGGTATATAGGTTCCTGAGACTATTTATCATTTCTACGATTGAAACTGTGTATGGAGTCTCACCTCCACCTAATGATACTGAACAAAAATTCATGTCTCTGTGGATCATTTGAATACTCAGATTCTACCTATGTACCTATGTGCGAGTACCGCCCTCGTTAAATAGCCTGTCTTTATCTACCCCTCTCAATTCCTTTGAGAATTTTGTATGTGGTAATCATATCTCCCCCTAATTAATCTGTCTTCCAGCGACATGAGGTTCAGTTCACATAGCCTTTAATCATAACTCATACCTCGTAGTTTGAACTTTGACCTTTGAACTTTCTCCAAATGATTCTTTTGCTTGACTAGGTATGAACGCTGGAGCTACCTACTCCAGGATTGGTCTGACGTATGACATATGTGGTATTCAAGGTTCTAAATGATTCCTGACCCAAGTTTCTAAAGGCAGTTCTGATGTTAGTCAGTCTCGCTTATGCTATTGATAATATAATAATGATAATCATAATATTGATAAGATAATGTTGACTTCAGAAGACAGGTTTGGTGTGAGATCAACGCCTAGATCATTCTCGCTATCCATTTGAAGGAGGATTTCATCTCCCATTTGGTACCTTGTGTCTGTCATCCTGCTCCCTCTACCTAGCTTCATTACTTTATATTTTCTTGAGTTAAACTCTAGTAGCGATTTGTTGGATCATACTCTCAGTTTGTCCAGATCATCTTGTAGCTTTTTTCATCAGCAAACATTGAGAGAAATGAGACTATTTCCTCTGTGAGATCGCTCAAATAAATGAGAAACTAGATAGATCGAAGAGCTGAACCCTGTGGGATTCTTTTAGTGATTTGTCACCATTCTGAGATCTTATGGCTGTCTTCTATTACTTAGGTACTCCATTGTCCACTGGAGCACCTTCCCTGTCACTCTTGTCTGCTTCTCCAATGTATGCATTGGTCTCCTATGGGGTACTGTGTCTAAAGCTTTCTGTAATCTAAAAATAATCAGTTTGCCCACCCTTCTCTTTCTTGTCTAATTTTTGTCGCCTGGTCATAGAATTCTGTTAAACCCGTGAGGCAAGATTTACTCTCCCTAAACCTGTGCTGGTGATGTGTTACAATGTTCCGTCTATCTAGATGATCTACTAGTTTTTTTTTTCTCACAATCGTCTCCATCATCTTGTGTGGTATGCGTGTGTGTGTGTGTGTGTGTGTGTGTGAGTGTGTGTGTGAGTGTGTGTGTGTGTGTGTGTGTGTGTGTGTGTGTGTGTGTGTGTGTGTGTGTGTGTGTGTGTGTGTGTGTGTGTGTGTGTGTGTACTCACCTATTTGTACTCACCTATTTGTGTCTGCAGGATCGAGCGTTGACTCTTGGAACCTGCCTTTCGAGCCATCGGTTGTTTACAGCAATGACTTCTGTCCTATTTCCCTATCATACCTAGTTTTAAAATTATGAATAGAATTTGCTTCCACAACCTGCTCCTTAAGTGCTAAACTACTCCACTACTCTCACGCTAAAAGAAAACTTCCTAGCATCTCTGTGACTCATCTGAGTTTCCAGCTTCCATCCATGTCCCCTCGTTCTGTTACTATTCCGTGTGAACATTTCGTCTATGTCCACTCTGTCAATCCCCCTGAGTATTTTATATGTTCCTATTATATCTCCCCTCTCCCTTCTTTTTTTCTAGTGTCGTCATGTTCAGTTCCTTCAAACGCTCTTCATACCCCATCCCTCGTAACTCTGGGACAAGCCTCGTCGCAAACTTATGAAGCTTTTCCAGTTTCCTTATGTGTTTCTTCAGGTGGGGACTCCATGATGGGGCGGCATACTCTAAGACTGGTCTCACGTAGGCAGTGTAAAGCGCCCTAAATGCCTCCTTACTTAGGTTTCTGAATGATGTTCTAACTTTTGTCAGTGTAGAGTACGCTGCTGTCGTTATCCTATTTATATGTGCCTCAGGAGTTAGATTAGGTGTTACGTCCACACCCAGGTCTCTTTTTAGAATCGTCACAGGTAGACAGTTCCCCTTCATTGTGGACTGTCCCCTTGGTCTCCTGTCACCTAATCCGATTTCCATAACTTTACATTTGCTCGTGTTGAAATTGTGTATGTGTGTGTACTCATCTAATTGTACTCACCTAATTGTGCTTGCGTGGGTTGAGCTTCGGCTCTTTGGTCCCGCCTCTCAACCGTCAATCGAAAGGTGTACAGGTTCCTGAACCTATTAGGTTCTATCATACCTATACTTGAAACTGTGTATGGAGTCAGCCTCCACCACAACACTGCCTAAAGCATTCCATTTATTAACTTCTCTGACACTGAATAAATTCTTTCTAATGTTTCTGTGGCTCATTTGGGTACTAAGTTTCCACCTGTGTGTGTGTGTCCTCACCGTGACAGTGCCCTCGACCGCTCTCCTTGCGTCTGAACGCCTCCTCCGACCAATTACGGGCTCACCATAGCCCGTGCTACATGGAAACTTCGTTCTGAGTAGCTAAATCTACAACAATCCTCCTCCGACAGGTCCTGAACGACAGCTTCGCAACGCAGTACGTGGACGGCATCGCCGTTCACTGGTACGGCGACGACTACTCTCCCGCCGGCCTCCTCGACGACACTCACGACCTCTTCCCAGACCACTTCATCCTGGGCACCGAAGCCTGTGCAGGTAAACCAGATTGATTGATGGATTGATGAAGATTAAGCCACACAAAAGGTGGCACGGGCATGAATAGCCCGTAAGTGGTGGCCCTTTTGAGCCATTATTAGTATCAAGAGGAGATACTGGAGATCTGTGGAGGTGCGACTGCACCCTGCGTGACGGGAGATGTCTCCCGTGAGGGAAACCAACTTCCCAATCCTTGTTATGCCCCAACCACACCATTCACCTCTCCAGCATGCGGGTTCGAACCCCGTCTCACACGATATATCATTAAAGCGTCGTTTCGTTTGAGTGTAATTGTTTTTCTTTAAGAAAAATCATTTTTTTTCCGTATGATGGCAGGATACCTGAAGGACCCCGTGGTGCTGGGCTCGTGGGAGAGACTGGAACAGTACGCTCACGATATCATCACTGTAAGTTAAGGTCCACGTTAAGGTTAAGTTAAGGTTAAGTTAAGGTTAAGTTAAGGTTAAGTTAAGGTTAAGTTAAGGTTAAGTGACGGTGAAAAAGAGTCGAAAGATATGTTAAATTATTTGCTGGACACACACTTTGTGAATTAGAAGAGAACTATGCTAGACTATGCTTTGTAAGTTAGAAGAGAACTATGCTAGACTATGCTTTGTAAGTTAGAAGAGAACTATGCTAGACTATACTTTGTGAGTTAGAAAAGAACTATGCTAGACTATGCTTTGTGAGTTAGAAGAGAACTATGCTAGACTATGCTTCGTGAGTTAGGAGAGAACTATGCTAGACTATGCTTCGTGAGTTAGAAGAGAACTATGCTAGACTATGCTTTGTGAGTTAGAAGAGAACTATGCTAGACTATGCTTCGTGAGTTAGAAGAGAACTATGCTAGACTATGCTTTGTGAGTTAGAAGAGAACTATGCTAGACTATGCTTTGTGAGTTAGAAGAGAACTATGCTAGACTATGCTTTGTGAGTTAGAAGAGAACTATGCTAGACTATGCTTCGTGAGTTAGAAGAGAACTATGCTAGACTATGCTTTGTGAGTTAGAAGAGAACTATGCTAGACTATGCTTTGTGAGTTAGAAGAGAACTATGCTAGACTATGCTTTGTGAGTTAGAAGAGAACTATGCTAGACTATGCTTTGTGAGTTAGAAGAGAACTATGCTAGACTATGCTTCGTGAGTTAGAAGAGAACTATGCTAGACTATGCTTTGTGAGTTAGAAGAGAACTATGCTAGACTATGCTTTGTGAGTTAGAAGAGAACTATGCTAGACAATGCATTGTGAGTTAGAAAAGAACTATGCTAGACTATGCTTTGTGAGTTAGAAGAGAACTATGCTAGACTATGCTTTGTGAGTTAGAAGAGAACTATGCTAGACTATGCTTCGTGAGTTAGCACAAAACTTCGGGCTCCAATGGTTAAAGAGTTGTTGCAGTTCTGAGGGAAGCTGTTGTACTCATAAGAGTAGTAATTGTAGTTAGGTAGTTAATTGTAGTTAATTGTAGAGAGTAGTAGTCGTAGTTAAGAGTGAAGCCTTCGTATACATGAGGGCGGCTGTTGCAGTTATAAGGGACTCACATACGTGTCACCATGAATACCTAACACCATGTATGCCTATTCATGACAAAATGTAGACCTATCCACCACACCATGTAGACCTATCCACCCCACCCGCTCCAGGACGTGAACCACTGGGTGGTGGGCTGGGTGGACTGGAACTTAGCCCTGGACCTGGAAGGAGGACCTAACTGGGAGAGCAACTTCGTCGACTCCCCGATCATCGTTAACCAGGTAGCGTCAACTAGTACCAGGTACTGCTCGTTAGTGAGTGACCTGCGCCCCGATTCATCAAGCCTCTTACGAAATTTCCGCGCCCATCAACTCTTTAATAAATGTAAACAAAGCCGCCATATGATTCAGGAAAGATATATAGGTTTGGATAATCTTGATGAGTCCTGGTGTAGGTTAAATCTTGAGTCCTGGTGTAGGTTAAATCTTGAGTCCTGGTGTAGGTTAAATCTTGAGTCCTGGTGTAGGTTAAATCTTGAGTCCTGGTGTAGGTTAAATCAGATGCACCAAATTGAAGAATGTGTGTAATGTGTGTAATGTGTGATGTGTTGACATGACTGGGGACGGTGTGGGAGGGGGAGCTGACCTGTGTTCTCGTGTCAGGAGGCGGACGAGTTCTACAAGAACCCCATGTTCTACGCCTTGGGTCACTTCTCGAAGTTTGTGAAGGAGGGCGCTGTGAGGATCAGCTTGACCTCCACTGACCTCCAGGACCTGAGCGCCACCGCCTTCACCAACACCGACGGCTCCACTGTGGTCGTGCTGCTTAACAGGTGTGTGTGTGTGTGTGTGTGTGTGTGTGTGTGTGTGTGTGTGTGTGTGTGTGTGTGTGTGTATGATGACATCTGCATGTATCTCCTCTGTGTACATGTGTTGGTTTGTGTTTATGTCCACGTAATGCAATTATTTACCTTTAATGTCTGAACTTACTTGGTTCCAGGTCAGAGGCTGATTTGGAGGTTGCTGTGAGAGTGGCTGGGAGGGGCACCATGCTCTTGAAGGTGGGGCCTCGCTCTCTCCATACTGCTTTCTTCTGAGGTACAGGCGAAGCAGGCTGTGGAGCAGGAGCAGGAGCAGGAGGAGGAGGAACAGTGGACGATGTGAAGTGTTGACAGGTGTTGGATATAAGGTTAGATGTCTGCAGGTGTGGGTAGGGAGATTCATTAACAGGTGTTAGAGAAGAGAATGGGAGTGACAATGAGGTAAATTAACCTCTGGATGCAAGAAGATGATGCCACCAGGTCAACTCTCTCCTGTTTCCTTGATAATGACTGACAAGTGTGCCCAGGATTCCTGTCTCTCGCATTCTTGTCACCTTCACTGATGTCTCAAGGTCGTCCCCCCTTCCCTTGCAAGTCCCACTGATGTCTCAAGGTCGTCCCCCCTTCCCTTGCAAGTCCCACTGATGTCTCAAGGTCGTCCCCCCTTCCCTTACAAGTCCCACTGATGTCTCAAGGTCGTCCCCCCTTCCCTTGCAAGTCCCACTGATGTCTCCAAGTCGTTCTCCTACTCCTAAAATATGTTCATATCTAAATCATTATTAATAAATAAAAAAAATCATCATTATAAAAGGAATGCTATTTATACAAATTTAGCATCGTATCTCCTTATGATTACTCTTTGTACCCCCATCGCCTTGTCCTTGATAACAACATAGAAGCCTCTTCTAGAAGCCAACGCTGCTATCATTATACAATACCGCTACCACCATTATACAACAACGCTGCCACCATTATACAACAACACTGCCACCATTATACAACAACACTGCCACCATTATACAACAACACTGCCACCATTATACAACAACACTGCCAACATTATACAACAACACTGCCACCATTATACAACAACGCTGCCACCATTATACAACAACGCTGCCACCATTATACAACAACGCTGCCACCATTATACAACAACGCTGCCACCATTATACAACAACGCTGCCACCATTATACAACAACGCTGCCACCATTATACAACAACACTGCCAACATTATACAACAACACTGCCACCATTATACAACAACACTGCCACCATTATACAACAACGCTGCCACCATTATACAACAACACTGCCAACATTATACAACAACGCTGCCACCATTATACAACAACGCTGCCACCATTATACAACAACGCTGCCAACATTATACAACACTCGGATAGAAGCCCTTTACAAAACTGTAATTAAAATATTACATATAAAGATTGAAACAAAATTGACTTTCACCCAACTAATATGAATTAATCTGGGATTGAACTATTAGCTATTCTGGCTTCACTTTACATTCAAAATAAAAACAAACTGAGTGATTATGTCGAAATATTATTTCTGAACCTGAATAACGAGATATTTAACAAGAAAAAAACATCAGACCTGAAAAAGTTTCAGGTTACCCTGAACACATTTATTTACTAACTTCACATACAAATACTACACAAACTTATGCATCTTTCACTTGGCTTCAGTCACTCGTGTTCTTCTTCCCTAACCCATTCTACAACCTCAAATCCATTTGCCGAGTCTCAAGGCTACCTGGCTTTCAATACCACCACTTATTTGACCTTCCTGTCACCATTCTACGGTACAAACCCCTTGTTTTACTCACCTTAAGACGTTCTATAGTCTCGAAGCTAGTCTTGGCTTTCACCACCCCATCACTGGCTTGGCATATACCCCACATGTATGAGTATTTCTCAACACATAATACACACAAATGACCTGTCAGTGAAGAAGATCTGTACTTTGTACCCTCAACACTGAAAGCTGACATTTATAAGACACCTGAGAGCTTGTGTCTTGTGTCTCAACATTTGCCCAGAGTAAGAGGTACTGTGATGACTTGAGAGTCTGGTCCCTCCCCCTATCAGATCCCACTTTATGTCTCCAGATGGTCTTCACCTATTCAATTTTGCTATGTATCGTCCCCGATATCTCTATCTCCTCTTGTCTCTCTACTTCCTCCTCCTCCTTCTCCTCTCTGAACACCTCCAAAGTCGTTTTGATCCTCTTCATCAACGCCTTCTCGTCATCCCTAAGCCCCCTTTTCCCCTCCTCCAATGTCTTCTCCACAACCTCATCTTCCACCACCTTCAACGCCTGCTTCTTCAAAGTCTATTTCACCAAAGGTTCACCTCCAACGCTTTCTCCTACTCCTCCAACGCCTCCTCCTGCAGCAACAACATCCACGCCAATACACACGAGCAATAAGCGGCTTCCAGCAACATTTTTGTGTATCCTCCCAAGTTCCTTGGCCTCCATCCTCCTACCTTCTCCTGCGCCATAATATCCCCGGCTCCTTATGCTCTCCTGCACGCCGGATTCATCCCTAAATGGAAGTAATTATGTCAAGGACTCCCGCTGAGTTTCTGCTCATACGAGCTGCCTTAGTTTCGCTGTCACAAGAGCAATATTTATTTCTCAAGCTTTTGCCTAATTGGAGGAAGCGTTTTGACCTGATATTATGCTTGATTGCTTGATACTACGATACCTGGGGATGCCCTTAGGCTCTGTAGCATAATGATGCCATGGTAATCTGTACTCTGACAATCAGACACTGACAGTCTAACAGTCAGACACTCTGACAAGATAGACACTCAAAACTGTCAGACCTTGACAGTCAGACAGTCTGACAGATCTCTCTCAGACTGTCAGACTGAGAATCAGACAGTCTGACAGAGTTTGGCTTATAATAAATATAATGCATAGTCTATTTTTCTCACTTACCTATTGTTTTGATCCTGGTGAATTCTGACCTCCCCCCCCCCCCCAAATGAATTCTGGCAGAATGGACGGAGAAGCGGAACATCGCGCCAGACAGACATGACAGAGTTCCATGACAGTTTACTAAACAGGAAAAACATGGCTGGATAACCTCTGTTTTCCTAGTGTCAAAAAGCCTTTGCTAGTTTTCTTCACGAAAGGCTAGTGTGTCAGAAGCAGTCTGGGGATAACTTGGAATAAATTGGAAGAATTGGAAAAAGAGAAATATTTGGGAGTGAACATAACTCCAGCATTAACACCGGGTAACATCAGCGGCATACGGGACGCTGACGAACATTACAACATCGTTTAGACATCTACATCAGGACTCTTTATGGAAGCCACGTCCATCCACACCTTTACTGATAGATCAGATAAGGAATTCGAGCATTAGGAGAGATAAATGATAGCGCAACAGATACCACAAGGCCAGTGGGCGGGGCACGAGGAGCTACACCTCACTTCCCTGTAAACACTGATAGCGAAGTAATGACATGTACGCATATAAACACACACACACACATACAAAGAACTACACACACACATATACATATACACCCAAACACACTTATACATAACAGTTAATTGACAGTTGAGAGGCGGGCCGAAAGAGCATAGCTCAACCCCCGCAAAAACAACTAGGTGAATACAACTAGGTGAATACATACAACACACACACACACACACACACGCACACACACACACACACACACACACACACACACACACACACACACACACACACACACACACACACACACGCACACACGCACACACACACAACAATTACATACGAACACCAACACCAGCCTGGAACACGAGTCATGCAAGCAGCCGAGACAAATGACAAACGTCTGTACATAAGGCTGGTGTGTGTGTGCGCACATCGATCTTAATGAACCACGCCTGCACTGGCAGTTTCTAATTGCCTTCGCTATCGGGCCTAATTAACCAATCACATGTGTGAAATTGCGTAAGTGTTGATGAGACACTCGGGTGTGTTCCGGCGTATCAATCCTCTAACAATATCATTATACAAAAAGCCATTAAATACTTGACCGAAAACCTGTTAAAACACTGTGGATTAGTTGGTGCAGTGGCGGCTTCGCTTCATGCAGGTCCCCGTTCGATTCCCCGATGATACGACACCGCAGGGTACGACACCGCAGGGTACGACACCACAGGATACGACACCGCAGGGTACGACACCGCAGGGTACGACACCACAGGGTACGACACCGCAGGGTACGACATCACAGGGTGCGACACCACAGGATACGACACCACAGGGTACGACAACACAGGATACGACACCACAGGATACGACACCACAGGGTACGACACCACAGGATACGACACCACAGGATACGACACCACAGGATACGACACCACAGGGTACGACACCACAGGATACGACACCACAGGATACGACACCACAGGATACGACACCACAGGGTACGACACCACAGGATACGACACCACAGGGTACGACACCACAGGATACGACACCACAGGGTACGACACCACAGGGTACGACACCACAGGATACGACACCACAGGATACGACACCACAGGATACGACACCACAAGGTACGACACCACAGGATACGACACCACAGGATACGACACCACAGGATACGACACCACAGGGTACGACACCACAGGGTACGACACCGCAGGGTACGACACCACAGGGTACGACACCACAGGGTACGACACCACAGGATACGACACCACAGGATACGACACCACAGGATACGACACCACAGGGTACGACACCACAGGGTACGACACCACAGGGTACGACACCACAGGGTACGACACCACAGGGTACGACACCACAGGGTACGACACCACAGGGTACGACACCACAGGATACGACACCACAGGGTACGACACCACAGGATACGACACCACAGGGTACGACACCACAGGGTACGACACCACAGGATACGACACCACAGGATACGACACCACAGGGTACGACACCACAGGGTACGACACCACAGGGTACGACACCACAGGATACGACACCACAGGATACGACACCACAGGGTACGACACCACAGGGTACGACACCACAGGGTACGACACCACAGGGTACGACACCACAGGGTACGACACCACAGGGAAATAAAAGTTATAGATTGTGCGAAATATACTTTTTAACTCAGCGAGTTTCAACGACGTACTCTAAACTATGAGCGATAAAACTACGCCAAAGTTATACCAAGAATTTCTTTTTTTGGGAGGGAATACTTAAGGTAATTTATATAGTAAAACCCACTCGACATCCCCCCCCATCAGTGCCCCATCACCCCCCTTCCTCCATCCCCCCCCTTCCACTTCCCCCTCCCCCCCTCTCGCCACATCCTGGGGGATGCGACAAGGTCTCAGGTTCCGGTAATCAGCATTCTCGACTCACAATCGGGGATACTGGGTTTGAATCCCGGTCGAGACAGAAATGTCTGGAAACGTTTTCTTTCAGTTTATGCCACTGTTCACCTAGCGGAGAGTGAAGCAAATGTTGGTGGTTTGGGGGGGGGGGGCAGGGGATTACTCATACAGAAAGTATGAGTACAGGTTTACTGTCTTCGGTGACGGAGGAGTGTGGTTGTTCAGTGGTCCTGACGGAGAGTGTGTGTATCACACCACCACTACCAGCTACACCACCACCACTACCACCACCACACCACCACCACACCACCACCACCACCACACCACCACTACTAGCTACACCACACCACCACCACACCACCAGCCAGCGAGACCACGTAAAGAGGTTCACTAAACAAGGGGCGGAATTCTCACAGAAAACGATAAGGAAGTACGTGAACTTTCTTTTAACATAAACCTGCTTCCAGCAGCACTGTGCTCTGCCTTCCCTTCACATCTGAACTCCAAACTCTCACTAATACCCTTCGTCCTTCTGATATATACCCGCCTCTCGCCAAGCTTACTCACTTCGTAAAAAAAAAAAATGAATTATCAGGGGTAAAGCACCAAGCCATCACGACTATATAGCACTGGGAAGAGGTCAGGATCACGATTTTCGACTGGACGGGGGAAGGAAATGGTATCCAGCCACTTGGACGGTCGGGGATTGAACGCCGACCTGCAGAGAAGCGAGACCGTCGCTCTACCGTGCATCCAATGGTGCTGGTGTTGACTCTTATTTCCTGTTCTTGTCATCTTTAATACTATGGTGAAACTGGTCGTATTCTTAATGACAGACTCAAAGAACACAAAAGTTAAGTTTCAGTTCCCCTGTCAGTTGTTTTCTGATATGTTAGCGACTCTAACAATCCTATAGATTGGTCCTCTTCTAAAGTATTCTTTCCCGCCTCTACTCTTCGCGAGGGCTTTGGCCTGGGTTCGTATCCTGCCCGGGGAGGATGAACTGGGCGCCAGTCTATAACTGTAGCCTCTGTTCACCCAGCAGTGAATGGGTACCTCGTTGTTAAACGATTTGGCGGGTCGTATTCCGGGGAAAAATTAGGATTAAGGAGCTGCCCGAGACGCTGTGTGTGCTGGTGACTGTACAAGAATGTAACAACTCTTGTATACAAAACAAAAAACAAAACTTTACAACAAAAAACTCTTCGTAGGCTGCGTCTTGACGAATGTGCTCTGATACCTTGAAGTTAACCAAGCCACACACTAGAAAGTGAAGGGACGACGACGTTTCTGTCCGTCCTCGACCATTCTCAAGTCGATGAGAATGACTTGAGAATGGTCCAGGACGGACAGAAACGTCGTCGTCCCTTCACTTTCTAGTATGCGGTTTGGTCAACATTTTCCAGCCACGTTATTGTGACTCCTCGTCTGCGCCTTGAAGTTAACTTGAAGTGTTTTCGGGGCTTAGCGTCCCCCCGGCCCGGTCGTCGACCAGGCCTCCTATTTACACCCACACTCTCAACATGAACCTTTGTCGCTGCTAACTCCTGCCTCTCTCAGCACAGAGTTACTCTAGAGTTGTTTAGTAACTGTGATCTGACTTGGCTTTAGCCATCCAAAAGGGAGCCGGTCGGTCGGGAGGGAGCCGGTCGGCCGAGCGGACAGCACGCTGGACTTGTGATCCTGTGGTCCTGGGTTCGATCCCAGGCGCAGGCGAGAAACAATGGGCAGAGTTTCTTTCACCCTATGCCCCTGTTACCTAGCAGTAAAATAGGTACCTGGGTGTTAGTCAGCTGCTTCCTGGGGGTGGAGGCCTGGTCGAGGACCGGGCCGCGGGGACACTAAAGCCCCGAAATCATCTGAAGATAACCTCAAGATAGGTACCACCCAGCCTCCACGCCACCTTCCTCAACATGCTAATGTCTTCCCTTACACATATGTTGGTGTATGTGGGGGGGCGGGGTGATGGGGTGATGAGAGCCTTTGATATGTAGAAGAGCTCAGCGTTGGGTAATACAGCGGGGGATGATAATACAGGCGATGTATTAGGTATACAGACAATATATTAAATACAACCAGTTGCAATATGGTGAATGATTTTGTCTGAAATACATCGGTATGAGAAGCATTGAAGGGGGGTGAGGGGTTGCATGTAAGGGAGGAGTGATAAGGGGTAATGGATGTGTTGTGAGTACTCATATAGATGAGCTTGCAGGGTCGAGTCCCTGCTCCTGCTGGCGGGACCAGTAAGCTCCTGGTCCCGCCTTCTAATCATAAAAGTATCAGAATTTTCAATAAAACAATTACTATTGACAAGAGCAATAAGTATTCAATATAATTACACATTATAAATCATTATGCAATAACATCAACTATAAAACTCATTATACAATGCATAACGTCAGTTATTTAATATAGAAAAATTAACAAGAAAAACAACAGTCATAAAATTGAAATTTGGAAATAAAAATATTAAAAATTGTAGTCGCTTCGTTAATTGAATTAGTAAATTATTATCGTCGTACATTACGGACTCTGGCAACCCTGTTCA